TATGGTTATGGGGAGATGCCAAAAGTGGAAGAGACGGTCACGAGCTATCTCTCCCCTGAATCTGCATCCTCCGTTAAAGCCTCGGTGTTACCCACCAAGCCTTTTAGAGTTACATCTGGTTTGGTGGGCAAGGCTTATTTTGCTGCTGGTCAGGCTGCAGCATGTCTCCAAACAATGTCATTGCTGCAGGCTTATCAGGCAGAAATTTTAGGAGAGCTAGATGAAGGCGGGGGAATTGGCCCAAATGCAGTTTGCGAACTGCAGGCGACAGATTTGTCTCTCAGGACCGCCAAGGAGTCGGCTAAATCCATTGGCCATTCTATGGCATCCCTGGTGGCTACTGAGAGACATCTCTGGCTAAATCTTAGCAACATTAAAGAAAAGGATAAGCATTTTCTTATGGATGCTCCAGTTTTGCCCTATGGGCTTTTCGGCGACGCAGTGAATCCAGTCGTTGAACGGTTTCAAGAATCAGCTAAGCAATCAGCTGTATTTCAGAAACTCCACCCCCGTCGGACTCACATTTCTAAAGCCAGCTCCTCTCATTGATTCACTCAAAAAATGAGCGTGGCTTCTCGTGCTCCCCCACAGAAAAGCCAGGGTCACGGGAAGTCCGCTCAACAGCAGTCGACCAGGCCCAAAACGGATCTAAGGACCGTCATTGTGTCTAGGAAGGCTGCGAAGAAAAGGTCCTGATGTCCAAGGGCTCAGGCCATCGAGGACAGTCACCCCCCCCCCCCCGAAGAGAGAGCGGTTAACACCTCGTTTTACGGTGCCCGTTCCTCTTCGGTGTCCTCAGGGGACCGTTATGCTAACTCTGCAATATGCTAAGGCGAGTGAGCACATATTTCTGGGTCTACCAGGAAATGTAGTGGCCCTGTGATGTCCACCCCCTCCAAGGAGGAGGTCTGAGAGCAGTCCATTCAGTCTTTCCCTGCTGGCGGGCCCAGGGTGACGAGCTGATTGCTCAACAACAACTAAATCCAGAAGCCAGTCTCGAGAGGCTGGTACCCCTAGTAGAGTTTTTGACAGTGTGGAAGGTACTGCCAAGTATTTCTCATTGGGTCCTGCACTTGGGTCTTGTCCGCCCAGGTTCATAGGGGTTCTACCCACCGTGGTGAACCCCGAGCAGATTCTGGTGATGGAACAGGAAGTGAGAAACCTGCTGGACAAGGGGGCCATAGAACATGTACCTCCCTCCAGCAGGGACACAGGGGTTTACAGCTGTTATTTCATCATTTCAAAAAAGTATGGGGGGTTGCGTCCCATTTTGAATCTGAGAGTTCTGAATAAATTGGTCATGCAAATGAAATTCAAAATGTTAACTTTGAGACAAATTGTTCTGCAGATCAGATCCGAGGACTGGTTTGTCACAATAGATCTCAAGGATGCATATTTCCATATTTCCATTCACCCATATCACAGGAAGCAATGCTTACGTGCCCTGGTAATGTGGAAGAAACCTTGGTTCCTGTCCCAGGGTCCCGTGCTGGGTGCTTCTTGTCATCGCATTGTGCTAACGACATATGCCTTCCTCACGGGCTGGGTAGCGATCCTAGAAGGACGCTCGGCTTGGGGTCTGTGGGGGGACCATCACCTTTTTGCTGGCATATCAATCACCTGGAGATGATGCCCGTCTTTCTTGCTCTCAAGTATTTCCTCCCAGACCTCAGGGGCCACCATGTGTTGGTCCACACAGACAACACATCGGTGGTCGCCTCTATCAATCATCAAGGGGGTTTTTGCGGTCGCCTCCATTGTGCAAACTGGTGCACCAAATCCTCTTGTGGTCCCAGGGCAAGCTGCTTTCACTCAGGGCATCTTATATCCCGGGGGTCCAGAACGTGGGAGCAGACATCCTGTCGAGACAGGGGCCGAGGCCCGGGGAATGGAGGCCCCACCCCAAGGGGAGTTTTGGAAAGAGTTCGCAGGGACCATCTACGCCTACTTCTTATAGCCCCGCGATGGCCGGGCAGAGTTTGGTTTGCAGATCTAGTGTCTCTCCTCAACGGGCCTCCTATGGAGCTTCCCGTCTGAAGGGATCTGTTGTCCCAGGCAGAAGGCTCGATATTTCATCCTCGTTCCGATCTGTGGAATCTGTGGGCTTGGCCTCTGAGGGGGACCAGCTCATTGGGTCAGTTCTTTCAACCGAGGTTGTGGAGACCATTCTACAATCCAATCTCCTCCATTCCAGGATCCACACCTGGAAAGGCACAATTTGATTTGCCCAGTTAGGGCGTTGGATGCTTACGTCCACAGAGCTGCTCCGTGGCATAAATCCAAACAGTTATTTGTATGTTTTGGACCCACTAACAAAGGGTCTGCTGCATCTAAGCAAACAATGGGCAAATGGGTGGTCCAGGCTATCTCACTTGCTTATGAGTCGACCGGGCAGCCTTCTTCTTTGGCTGTCCGGTCTCATTCTACTAGGAGTATGACAGCCTCTATGGCCTTATTGTCAGGAGTTCTGCTTCAAGACGTCTGTGATGCAGCAGGATGGTCTTCACCTCACACATTCGTTAGGTTTTATGCTCTGGACTTGGACTCTACACCAGGGTCCCGAGTGCTCTCATCCTAGTGCTGCTTGCCTGATTTCACACTGGACAGGCACTTCTCGCTATGGGGGCGTTGGTATAGACCTTCCCTTAGTGTCAATTGCGCAACGCGAGTTCCCTTGAAAGGGAACCCCTCGGTTAAGACTGTAACCTCGGTTCCTTGAAGAGGGAAGGAGACGTTGCGTCACCTGCCATATCTCCTGCGTGCCTGTAAGCGACTTGTTCAGACCTTTCTAAGTTGTTGCGGCTGGGTTTGAACCGGCTTATATAGTTTCCTGGTTCATGACGTCACCCGCTCTGACGTCCCGTCACGCCATTGGACTGATTTTTCATGTGCTTTTACATTCTCACGCAAAGCGTTCCCTTAGTGTCAATTGACGCAACGTCTCATTCCTCTACAGGGAAGCGAGGTTACAGTCGTAACCGAGGCGTTTCCACAAAAATGTAATCAGCACTGTTTCCAACACTGATACTAACCATAAATGTTTCTTGAGCATCAGATCCTCATATTAGAGTGATTTCTGAAGGATCACGTGACACTGAAGACTGGAGTAATGATGATAAATTCAGCTTTGATCACAGGAATATACACTTTACTACATATTCACATAGAAAACTGGTGATTTACCCTGGAGTATTACATTGTTTACTGTATTTATGATGGAATAAATGCAGCCTTGGTGAGCAGAAGAGAAAAAAAAGTAAAAAAAAAAAAAAAAAGTGATCATATCAGGAAAAAATTTGAAAAACTGCGTATAAAAGACTTGAGAGTCAGATCCGGCCTGCACTCCTGATGCTGGAGTGATCAAACAGAGAAACGGAGAGTGTGTAAACACTGGCCTCTGGTGTCGTCAGCGGGAAAATACAGGAACACACTGAATAAGAGCCTTCAGTTCCAGTTCTAAGTATAATAACGCGTAGTCTATAGCGTAGAGACTCCGGCGTAGGGCCGACGCAGAAGGATAAATCAGCCTAAACACACACCAGCCGCTGCACGACAGGAGAAACCCCTCACACACACTGCCTATAGCAATTAGATAATCTCAATCCAAAGAGGGGTTTGATATTATATATAATAAAGTCATTCATGTTCCAAAGCAGTCCTGAAGTGTCCAGTAATGACTGCTAATTAATATTCATGAACCTTTCTAATTAGAAAGCTAACTCTGATTCCCAGTACGAGAGACTACGAAGATAACGCTGGCTTTGCTGCTATACAGATCTGTGCTGTAAAACATGTCGGCTCCGGTGAAGTGTTCAAGTGTTCATAAATATCCATAAAGTCATGATCCGGAAAGACTACAGCCGGATGCGACTTTGGCATCACATCACATTTATTTGATTTGCCATAATCTAATCAAGAAGAGCCTAACTGTATAATTTACACATGTCATTGTGCCAATGAAACGCTTGTCTGTTAGTTAGAAGTTGTGTCAAGACTGGATATAAAGGGCGATGTTGCTCGACATCATCCTGACAGCTTTAACTGGAGTGTGTAAACACTGTGTGTGTGTGCGCGCGTGTGATCTGACAGTGTTGTTATGGATGTGTGTGTGTGTGTGTGTGTGTGTGTGGTTCTCTGCAGCTCCTCATGACTCCTCAGAGATGTGACCCGGGATGAATGGACCGTGGGAAGGACATCATCATGTCAGAGTCGGAAACAATCAGCATCTTCCGTTTACACACTCCAGTTAAAGCTGTCAGGATGATGTCGAGCAACATCGCACTTTATATCTCTCCATAGTCGTAATGGTTTTTATACTGTACAAACTGTATATTCTGTCCCATTACCCTGCCCCTATCCCTAAACCTACCCCTCACAGGAAACATTCTGCATTTTTACATTTTCAATGTTTGATTTATACGCTGTTTTCCTCATGGGGACCGTTGGCTGGACCCCACAATGTAGGTGATTTCAGGTTTTACAATACTTGTGGGCACATTTGGTTCACACAATGTAATAGGCTATAAACATGAACACGCGCACACACACACACACACATTCATAACACTATCAGGTCACAGAGGCAACCCCCCCCCCACACCACACACACACACACTGCTCACATCCTTAACAACACTGTCATATCACACACACATATATGGATGGACGGACGGACGGCTAGACAGACAGACAGACAGACAGACAAATAGACAGATAGATAGATAGATAGATAGATAGATAGATAGATAGATAGATAGATAGATAGATAGATAGATAGATAGACAGATAGATAGATAGATAGATAGATAGATAGATAGATAGATAGATAGATAGATAGATAGATAGATAGATAGATAGATAGACAGACAAATAGACAGATAGACAGATAGATAGATAGATAGATAGATAGATAGATAGATAGATAGATAGATAGATAGATAGATAGATAGATAGATAGGCGCGCGCGCTCTGGAGGGAGGCTGTCGCGCGCTCTTAAGAAGCGCGTGAACAGCGCGCGCTACAGTGATGTTTCCTCGCGCGGACCCGCTTCACCTGTTTGTCTGAGGTACTTTTGAAATATATTCTTATACAAATATCGTATTTAAATATGCTAAACGTTTAAACTGCCCATTCTACCTGATGTTTGTAACTTTTCTATATTTGTTTGACTTTAGTTGCACTCCGAAAGGCAAGAATGTAAATAGGCTATACACAATAAAACTAAGTTGTTATGGATATTTTGCATCTCACTTTAGTTTGATTTATAATAGAACGAGTCTTCTGAAAGTAGGGTTTTTGTTTTTCTTTGTTTTACGGTTGTTTATTTACTTATAATTGCTGTAATATTGGTTGTACAGTATGTGTGAAGGCATCACTGCTGTACTGTGAGAGCTGATGTCTTCCTCCACAGCTTTAACAGAACGCGTTTTATATTCCCCGGTCTGTGTCACTTTGTTAATGTTGCATTTATAGGCAAACTCTTATTCTCGAAGGCTGGATTGAAACGACTTTATTGAATGTAATATTTCCAGATGCATTATTATGGTGTTTTATGCTGCAGTGCAAAATCAGTGTCACAATGTGGTCACTACTCATACAGGGACTATTGATTTAAAATGATAGTCAAACACACCGAGATCGGTTATAGCTCTTGGTGATCTGCATCTGAGATGATCACTGAGACCTGACGAGCTTTAAGACACTGATGTGGAAGAAATGGAGAGTTTCTGCTAACTTCATGTCCACTGAGATTTCTGAAAACTCATGCGATTGCCTTTTAATGTGCTTAAATTTACAATAACTGTACTTGCAGATTATTAATGAAATGAAAGTTAAGTGCAATTAAAGAGAGGAGACGATCATGCTCTGCACACTTTTAAAAAAGTTCAGTTTGTGATATTAATTTATTTGAAATTTGCTAATAACTGTTTTTAACTAAACTTCATTAGGCTACTAAAAACCTATAATTACAAAATTATTACATTATACTTACATATTTAATATGACATTAAAGTATGTTTTAGATGATCATAAATGTGTGTCAGTACATTCAGTAAACTTAAACCATATTTCAAAGACAATAGAAGTGTTTATAACATCACATAATGCTACATCATACTTAGGTTAAGTAATTGTGTTTAATATAAATTTAAACTATAATACATTTTCAATTAATTTTCATAGTGTGTGAAAAGTACATTCACAATTAAGTATATTATTTTACATTATTTCCATAATAAGTGCTCTTGCTAATTCTGTGTTAATAACTGATTTAAAGTGTGTAACCGAATCCCTGTAGCAAAGATGGAGGGCAATGTTTTACAGATGGCAATCAGCTTGTTAACATTATTACATTACTCTTCATTTACATTACTCTTAAAAAAAGAGAGAAAAAAAAACAAGAAAACACCTCATGAAACAAACAAACAAAAAAATCTCATGAAAGTGTGTATCTATACCACAAATTATATAAATTATTTACATGCCAAAAAATTTTGGTTTTTGTGTGTGTGTGTGTGTGTATGCATACAGTATGCTACACACTGTAAACCTCTTAGTAGGATTAGGGGTCTGCATTGCGTGCACGCCATAAAGTGCGCATCATAAACGCGCAAAAACTATTTTTGGCGTAAATGACACGAGAAATTAGATTTGTGGCATAGATCCGCACTTTGATGAGATCGGGCTGCTAGTTCTCGGGCGTCTGCTAGTCCATGATCCTGCTGGACTCGAGCAGATTCTGGGCTCGGGGCTCTGGGACGTCCACGACGGCTCTGATCGTCTCGGCTGGATGTAAACATCAGTTATGCTCTTAGTTCTTCCATACATTAAAGCCAGAGAACATCAGGGCAAAGAACATGGCCACTGAATAACGTTTCTCATTCAAACATGATTGCTCGTGTTAATTTGACTCAATGTTTTCAAGTTTCAATCAAGTTGCTCGATCAAAAATGGCAAATGAATTTCGCTGCTTGTTGTATTAGCACGTTCTTGATTATGTCCATGTTAATGTGTTTGGTCTCGGTGGACTAGATCTGCTGTTGGTTATTATTGCTATATAATATATTAGACATATAAAGACAACTGGCAGTTCTGTTTATTTATTTATCTTTTTTAATATGTGTATTATACTCAGGTGGAATTCGTAATGTTGTTATTGTGATTTGGTGATGTTTACCTGTATTTCATGTTGTTTTTTGTCTACAGATTATCTCCGGGAGTCCAGAGCTGGAAACACAACAGGCATCATGAACAACGAAGAGTTCCCTTCTGTACCGATCACAGACCAGCAAATGAACATTGTCAGTATCAAAGCCATAGAAGATATTGGTTTTGATCTTCAAGATTCTATAGTAAGTTTGTTTTTAAGTCTTAACTTTTTTAAGATGGCCGGTATGCAATACAACACAGCACTTGTCTTACAAACATTAGAGGTCTCTCTGAAAAAAAGATGACATAATGGAAGCTTGTTTCCACTATGGAATAAACAATTAAAAAGATAAAAAGAGTTTATATCTCAAAATTGTGAGAAATAGTCAAAATTGTAAGGTATGAACATGCAATTGCAAGAAATAAAGTTAATTGAATTAAAAGAATTGTGAGATATAAAGTCAGAATTTCAAGAATTGCGAGGTATTTTTATGGGTTGTGTGTAGTATTACTCTAAAAACGAAATGCGTGATGTAGAATGAATGATAAAGTTATGTTACACACTAAGACCATACTACAAACATCATTACACTGATGAAGCAGAACATTGAACTAAAGATACATCAGGGCTAAAATACACAGGGAATTAACGAAACAATTAAGAGGTGAGCACTAATCAGAAACCGTAGTAACTTTTTCAATGAGAATTAAAGATGAACTGAACTGAAATTTGAGAAAAGGTGATATAACATATAAAATGGTAGATTTTAAAATGGTACAAAATGGATAAAATGGTACATTGAAAGTATTTTTGTTACACCGACGCCGCCATGTTGGATTTCAACATTCGACTGCGTCACTGGCAGATACATGGAAATGTATTTAAATACAAATACAAAATACTGTGTGGAAAAATGTATTTAAATACAAATACAGTATTTTGTATTTTGAAAATACTGAAAATACATGTGAAATTGGCAATTCAGTGCAGACATCCCTATTAGGCTGAAATCTATCTGGGCCTATTCTGAATGCCAACAATTATTCAGATGTGTGCAACTACTTAGAAAATTTCGTTTTCATTTTATATACCTCTTCCCTTCCCCAGCCCTGTAGGAACAAAACTAAAAAAAAAAAAAAACTAATTTCAAACATCTTTTATTATATTTTATCACCACCATTACCTCACACTCAGTAACAAGAACTCAATAACACAAAGTCAATTATATTTTAAATAACTGATGGTACTGATGTAACTGATGTACTCCTCCAGGTGGTGTACCTATGTGTTTCAGACATCTATCTATTCGATTCCCTTTAGCACCACCAGCTTTTCAAAAAGTTTGGGTTTAAGACGTCGTCTGTGTGGCCTATTGATTAAACGGTAACACTTTATTTGAAGGGGTGTGCATAAGACTGACATGGCACTGTCATAAACATGACACTTTTAATGCAAAGTTGACATTGTTTAAAATGTCTTTGTTATGACAACTTGACATTAACCAAGAAATCATAACCTGTCAAAAATATGTCATAACAGGTCTAATTATCAAACTTAAAGAAGTTATTTAGCTTTGCGTTAACATTACATTACCCTGTCATATGTGGTTGGTTTTGACTTTGGCCGTCATGACGCTATTATAACTGTGACATGAATATTTTACTTGTCCTCAAGTAAAGTGGAACACATTGTACCAGTTATGTCATTAAGGGTTATTACACTGTCAAATTTTTTAACAACAGTGTCATTAATATTTTACCCTTACCTCAAGTAAAGTGGAACACGTTGGACTAGTTATAAACATGGCAGGTTGACAGGTTATGATTTCTTGGTCAATGTCAAGTTGTCAAAACAAAGACATTTCTGTCTTTGTTATTGTCAAGTTGTCATAATCAAGACATTTTTTGTCTTTGTTAATGTCAAGTTGTCATAACAAAGACATTTTAAACAATGTCAACTTTGCATTAAAATTGTCATCATTTACCGAATGACACTTGATGACAAAAGTCATAAACATTCATAAAGACTCCTTCATGTTCATGACAGGTGTTATGTCATGTTTATGACAGTGTCATGTCAGTCTTATGCACACCCCTTCAAATAAAGTGTACGGATTAGACCCGCAAAGGAAAATAAGTGTGTGATTGTGTTGAACCTCACAATAAGTGGATACTGGTTCAAGATGTCCAAATACTTCCTCTGATCTTCTAGGATTCTGGCTCAAAGTATTTTGAGTATTTTGAAAATAAAAAAATACTCATCTTAAATGTATTTAAATACAAATTACATTTGATTTTTTTCAAAGGCTTTAAAATACAAAATACAAAATAGTATTTTGTATTTCAAATACGTATTTTAAATACATGTATCTGAAATACTGCCCATCCCTGGTCACTGGCATGGTAAGCCACTCCGTACCCTACCCGCACCAGCAGAACAGCCGTAGCTTGTGAATAGTCTGAGGCTCACTGACATGGCTGAGGAAACAGATTTTTTAGCGACACACTATTTAGAGATGTGTACTTTCGTCAATGAGTACATGAAACGTCTGACAATGTCTGCATGAAATGTTTTATTTACAAAAGTTACAAGTTCAACACATCACGTTAACGTTACTCGAATCCTTGATATTCAGCTGTGGGGAAAAGATCCCTGATGTATAGTTCACTGTAAAGGATGGGATTCTCCTTCCTAAATGCACACTCACACATAGAGTGAACAGTCAGGACGCTGTTAATCTAAACAGTCTGAGAAAAGTGTAACAAGTTAGCCCAGCCTAGTCACCTATTCGTAAAATACCCTGCTACTGATGGGGCGCTCGCATCTCAGCTCGGACATCCATTAGAGACAGCGTAGCCTCCTCCAACACGTTTCTCTCACCGAACAACATCCAAAATGAACGGTGCACAACGGTGATTACTTTTTTGTCGATCAATAAATGTTCCAGGTTGACCTCTCTGCAACAGATCGGCTCCGGTGCAGTGCATTGCATTCTTCACAGTGCTCGCGCCCACGGTCACTTCCCCCAAGCGATCCTGTACTGCAAGTGAAGCCTGAAACTGATCGTCCTTCATGTGGTGGTAGTCAGACACTACCGGCCTGTCCCTCACGGCCTCAAATGCGTAATCCATGCCGTTAAAAGTGCTCATTTCGTCTGTGTATAGGACCTGCAGCTGTTGTCTATGCAGCTCCGCGGGTCCTACCATGCCAGTGACGTCATAGAAATTGCCAGCGCTAGCAAGTGCAATTTTGCGTTGCTTAAAAAAAGCTATATTAATATTTTTTAAATTAAATATTTAGTGTTATTTACTTTTAATTGTCATAAACAACACGTTTTCATCGTCAATTTTTTTCAGTTCAGTTCATCTTTAAGGCAAGAGAGAAAATGATAATGAAACAGATCAAATTATAATCGTCTTAACCCGAAAAGTGCATCCTTGGCTGAAAACGTCCAACAGATGTGGGAGGGGGTTCCAGAGGTGGATGTGGTGCAGATGAAGACCGATAAGATCCAGGAGCTGACAAAGGGATACACCCCAGTGGAGAAGATGCAGAGATAAGCCAGGGAGGAGATGAGGGAGGAACCAGATGATGACCCTGGGCAAAGCCAAGATGAAGGCCCACAGCAGAACTGAGCCAGGAGCCTGAGCAAATAAGGTAATGAAGTGAATGGTGGAGACCCAGGTGGAGCTGAGGAGACTTAAATGCAGGGTGACAAGGAAGGCATGGATTACCAAGGTGGAGCTGAAGGCACGCTTAACTAAGGTGGAGACATGGGCTTGGTAGACTGGGGCAGAGCCAGTGTGACTGAGGGCAATGTCAGAACCAGGGGGAGGAGGAGCTTGGTGGAGAAAGAGGTTTTCGAGGGTTGAGCGGCAGCTGGAGATGCGATTGTCTGAAGCAGAGCCACAGTGATGATACACCAAGTTGGAGCCAGAGACAAGACCATCCTTGATGAAGGACACTTGGAGTTGGACGGGACCATCCTTGATGAAGGACTCTTGGAGTTGGACGGGACCATCCCTGATGAAGGACACTTGGAGCTGGACAGGACCATCCCTGATGAAGGGCACTTGAAGCTGAATGGGACCATCCCTGATGAAGGACACTTGGAGCTGGATGGGACCATCCCTGATGAAGGACACTTGGAGTTGGACGGGACCATCCCTGATGAAGGACACTTGGAGTTGGACGGGACCATCCCTGATGAAGGGCACTTGGAGCTGGATGGGACCATCCCTGATGAAGGACACTTGGAGCTGAATGGGACCATCCCTGATGAAGGGCACTTGAAGCTGGATGGGACCATCCCTGATGAAGGACACTTGGAGCTGGATGGGACCATCCCTGATGAAGGACACTTGGAGCTGGATGGGACCATCCCTGATGAAGGACACTTGGAGTTGGACGGGACCATCCCTGATGAAGGGCACTTGGAGCTGGATGGGACCATCCTTGATGAAAGACACTTGGAGCTGGACAGGACCATCCTTGATGAAGGACACTTGGAGCTGGACAGGACCATCCCTGATGAAGGGCACTTGAAGCTGAATGGGACCATCCCTGATGAAGGACACTTGGAGTTGGACGGGACCATCCCTGATGAAGGACACTTGGAGTTGGATGGGACCATCCATGATGAAGGACACTTGGAGCTGGATGGGACCATCCCTGATGAAGGACACTTGGAGCTGGATGGGACCATCCCTGATGAAGGGCACTTGGAGCTGGATGGGACCATCCTTGATGAAAGACACTTGGAGCTGGACAGGACCATCCTTGATGAAGGACACTTGGAGCTGGACAGGACCATCCCTGATGAAGGGCACTTGAAGCTGAATGGGACCATCCCTGATGAAGGACACTTGGAGTTGGACGGGACCATCCCTGATGAAGGACACTTGGAGTTGGATGGGACCATCCCTGATGAAGGACACTTGGAGTTGGACGGGACCATCCCTGATGAAGGACACTTGGAGTTGGATGGGACCATCCATGATGAAGGACACTTGGAGCTGGATGGGACCATCCCTGATGAAGGACACTTGGAGTTGGACGGGACCATCCCTGATGAAGGGCACTTGGAGCTGGATGGGACCATCCATGATGAAGGACACTTGGAGCTGGATGGGACCATCCCTGATGAAGGACACTTGGAGCTGGATGGGACCATCCCTGATGAAGGACACTTGGAGTTGGACGGGACCATCCCTGATGAAGGGCACTTGGAGCTGGATGGGACCATCCTTGATGAAAGACACTTGGAGTTGGACGGGACCATCTTTGATGAAGGACACTTGGAGCTGGATGGGACCATCCGTGATGAAGGACACTTGGAGCTGGACAGGACCATCCCTGATGAAGGACACTTGGAGTTGGACGGGACCATCCCTGATGAAGGGCACGTGGAGCTGGATGGGACCATCCCTGATGAAGGACACTTGGAGCTGGATGAGACCATCCCTGATGAAGGGCACTTGGAGCTGGATGGGACCATCCGTGATGAAGGACACTTGGAGCTGGATGGGACCATCCGTGATGAAGGACACTTGGAGCTGGACGGGACCATCCCTGATGAAGGACACTTGGAGCTGGACGGGATCAGTGGAGACTGAGGGCTTTGTAACATGGCATTATCCAGCTCATCACATAAAGATTCAGCGGGGACCCTGCTTATAGCAGAACCTCAGCGAAGGGAGTGTGGGCGAGGCAAGACATGAAGATGTAAAGCTTGAATTGTGAGGTAAAAAGTTAGAATTGCAAGATAAAACGTCGTAATTGCCTTTTATTGTTATTTTTAAACAAGTTTCTGCATTACAGAGATTGTACAGTTTCTATGTTGACATAATTCTGAAAGTCCCCTTTACATAGACTAAGCTGACTTCTGACTAACAGTCATGTGTGTGAGTGAGGGCATCTCGGAGGCTTTGATGTATGACTTTATAGTTGAGTCTAATATTAGCTCCTGGCTCCTCTCAGTCCTCTCAAGTAACAACAGGGATCAGTTGGTGACCTGTGTCTCAGTCTGAGGGCCAGAGAGAAACAGACAGACAGAGAACAGTGTTGAAGATTACGGGAGTGTGAGAACAGGCTCTTACTGGGATTGGGAGATGGATTTAACCGAGAAAGAAAGTGGCGTCTCTCAATCTCAGACTGCCTGCAAGCAAGCACACTTCTTGAGGGACGTGATCTTTCATGGCAAATTTCAGGTGCGTGTGGTGTGTGTTCATGACTATTCAGGAAGTTTTAGGAGCTTTATACCCCATATTTATAATGCATATGCAATATCTGCGACTAATGATGACTATTATTGGCTGCTTAATTGAGATAAAGATTTGATAAAGGTACTGTAGATGAACGTATCAATAAATACAGTAAATGAGCATGTGCTAGATCTATATGGGCCAATGGTTTTGCTCCTAAAATATGAGCGCACATCCCCATAAGATGAAGCGGGATGCCAGAGGAAATCGTACACCTCATAACACAGTCAGCAGTTGCTGGATCGGTTGCAGTCGCTCTACAAAAAAAGCTGACCTCATAAATTAAGACTTCAAAAAATATTTTCTATCTAGGATTACTGTCGCATTAGTGTTTATGCTGAGGGCATTTTACAGGGAATGCTTCACAACTAGTTACAGTGCAACAGAAACCTGCTTACTGTACTGTTTATATCTATATAACTGTCATATTATTAGTTATTATTTGTTTTTCCCATAGATGTAATAAGAGCCGGTAGTTGACAGTCTCAAGTTCAAGGTAACTCGTGTCGAACATGATTTAACAGTGTGTTAGCGGCTGCATGTCCAACATGACTCAGATCCATTCATTACTGAACTAAGATCAACATCTCCGGCAGTTTGATCTCCAACACTGGGGCCAAACATGTTGAGAACTTATGAAGCATTACTGCATCTATAGTGGTAATAATTATGGCTTCCACAAACGATAATATTACCCAGAGATTAATGAATATGCACATAAGAGAGTTGTGCTTCTCCATCTGACAGTGTGATTATCTAGTTGTGTTGAACCTATATTCAAATATCATCATTGCATTGTGCAATATTACTCATGACTGCCATATTCTTCTGGATAGATGAGGAGGAGGAGAGAGAATAATACAGTAATAATACAGTCACTGTATTTATTAACCATTTATTATGTTGTTTGTTTCTGTAAAATTAATCAGTCACTAATTTCATGTGAAATTATTTTCTGAATTAAGAATATATTTATTTGGCAGATCATGAACTGTCCTAAATAGGGTTTTTGCCAGGATTTTATTACGGTACCAGTCAAAAGTTTGGAATAATTCAGTTTTTAAAATGCTTCTGTAAGAAGTTCCCTCTGTAAGGGGTTTATTTGGTCAAATACAGTAAAGACAGTAATAGTGTGAAATGTCACAATTTCACATGAAAAGTCTATTTTCACATGATCCTTCAGAAATCATTCTAATATGCTGATTTGCTGCTCAGATATCAGCTGTTAGTGGTGCTTAATTATTAATTATGATCAATGTTGAAAATAGTTTTTGCTGCTTCATATTTTTGTATAAACTTAAATATTTTCAGGATTCAAAATAACAGCATTTATTTGAAATAGAAAACTTTTGGTAAGAAATAATTAAGAATAAAAGTTATTGTTGAATAAAATGTTATATATATATATAGAGAGAGAGATTTATATATATATATAAATATCTTACTTCAAACTTTTGAATGGTAGTGTGTCACAGTTTCCAGAAAAAAAATAAAAAATAAAAAATATTTTCACATTGAAAACAGTTATTTTAAATTAATAATATTGAGCGCATATTTAAAATGAAATAAACATTTTTTTTTTTACATCTAAATCATTCCAATCATTTCACTGGTAGTGTCGAGTGTCTCATGAAGACATTTGATGCTTTGGTATTCTTTGTTATTTTCAACAGCAAACATTAATTATTGTAATTTATACTGTGTCCCTGTTGCCGTTGATTAACCTGAGCAAATAACATCTGGTTTATTTGCATATTAGTGGTCCAATATTCATGTTTATTTCCTAACATTTTACAGGCTCTTCAAACACGCTAGAGAGATTAAATAACACTAACACATTATACATCCGCTCTGAAACGTTCAAAACACACTGATCACACGAGATTTGTCAATGTCCTTGAGTTTAATGATAAAGATCCTCTCTAATGCTGTTCACATCTGTCATTATTCACCATCTGCTTATCACATTTAAGAACAACAGTCAAATGACTAAATTCCACAGAAAATGCCAAAGAAATTTCAAGTAACACACTGTAAAACACTCTAGTCATCTGAAAAATCATTTTGACAGTTTGTGTCTAATAATGCACGTCTGAGAATGATGTAATGAACAAAAACACGTGAACACTTTCTGCTGACTCTCAACATTCACTCTTTCTTTTCATTCCACATCCACTGCGACGGTGCCTTTGGTTTGGTAAAGAATATGAAAATAAGCCACAGCTTATATTTGTCCGCGAACGTCCGCCGAGCGTTCCCGCAGAAGCCTTGAGATCATGCTGAGTGTGTCCCTCCTCCTCACATGCTGATCTGAGTTCAGGACAATGAGGAGATGTTGCGATCTTGACCTTTGACTGGCCACTGCCGTCACACACACACACACACACACACTCACTCATGTTCTGGCCTCCTCTCTCCTCTCAGCTCCTGAAGTCTCTCACTCCTGAGGAGAACACTCAATGCCGGCAGGGTCTGTTCTTCCAGGACGGCCGGAGACGGGTGGACTACATCCTCACCTACCACATCAAGAAGAGCAGCCGCGCCGGGGGGTCCCGCCTCCGAGACAACGCCTTCACACGCACCCTGAGACGGGGCCGGCCCGCCCCTGCAGCCGACCCCGAGCGGGGCCCCGACCCCAGCGCAGAGCACCACGAGCACCAGGACCGGGACAAGGCCCTGCGCCGGGCCGAGTTCGAGAACAGCCTGCTGGAGATGGGGCTGGAGCTGGAGCGAGACGAGGAGGTACGTGTGTGTGTGTTCGTCCAGGCTTTTGTCTGCCGCAGGTTTGTTTAGTCTTTCGGCTGAGCTCAGCTGTTTCACTTCAGCACAAAACACACAGCACTGACGCTGAGACTCGACTCTGACACACACTCGCTCAGGGGTTCGCTGTGGTCAAGCACGCTCCTGGATGCTGATTGGCCAGTCGAGCAGTCCAGCCATGCTGACATATGAATATCAGTCGCTCTGTGTGTACAGTAACACCAGCTTGATTTGTGGCCTTAAAGTCAATTAATTAAAGAAAAAAACACTTTCATGACTGTTTCTGACCCCACTTTATAATAATGTCAAATTATACGCTTTATTAATTATATTTTACACCATTATGTTTTAATAATCTTCTATCACGTCTTCTATCAACTAACATACTAAAGCAGATCTACAGTACAAGATGATCATTTTAACTCTAGCGTGTTATTCAATATCAAATATTTTTAATGGACTAAATTGCAACTTTATTAAAAAGATGTAATTACAAATACATTGAAAAACATGACAGACGTTTCAAAATGTGTGACAATAGAGTTTATTTTCCTTCATCATAAATGCTTGTCAGTACAATAATAATAATTCTACTCACTGTGAAGTTCAGCTCACTGAATCTGATACAAATGTGAACTATAATACAGTAAATTTGCATTTAATTACACGTGTCCAGAAACATTACATTACAATAGTTTACACTTACAGAAAGTTCTTTTAACATATACTATTTATGTAAAAAAATTAGCAAAAAAATTAAAGTTCGGTCATCATACATGTGTATATATATACACATGTATGATGACCGAACTTTAATTTTGAGCCTAATTAAGATTTAATATATGTATACAGTATATCTTATATCTTAATATAAGTATATATTAAATCTTAATTAGGCTCAAGAAGACTCTTAAATATTTTAATTTAAATGATAAAATTCACAATATGTTAGAAATGGCTATAAAACAAATAATTTGAGGTTGTGTTTGATTTATGAGTATCTTTTGTACCTTGTCACCTGATATCAGTATAGGGAGACACATGTCAGTGGGCTCCACACAAACGTGCGTTCGCTGTGAAAGTGTTTCTCTCTTTTAGATATATCCATCATTGGTGTGTGTCTTCTTCAGAATGAATGATATTGAGCTGTGTGCACCTGCTCTTCTGTTCTCTGTGAACTAGCACACGTTTATGAGAGCGTATGAATGCACGTGGAGCCGTGTATGGTTATGCCATTAAATGCCTCGCAGAGTTTCATGGATCGGATAATTGGCTAAAGTAATGGTGATAGCAGCTGTTTGTTTTTTTGGTCTTGGCTGTGAAACTGACATGGGATCCGCTGTGCTGCAGTCTATGTAGGGCTCATAGTAGTGCACATGCTCCACATGCTGTGTGACGCGTGTGTGTGTGAGGAACCCAATCTGACGCGCCTCGTTTCCTGATTCCAACACCCGTCTGTTGCTTTAACCCTCCGCCGCTCTTTATTTGGGACTCACACTTGTGTTCTCAACGCTCAAAAGCGACTGAACCCCTGAAATGTACTGTTAAATTAAATGATATTACATTTATATGACGAAGAGTTTTATTACATTTAATTACTTAATTGTGTGTAGAACTTTTTCCACTGTATTCATCCTATTGTTTGTAGAATAGAAAATCCATGGTCCTGGACTGTTGTAACTCACTGCTGTTTGTTGACAGTGAAACTCTGAGTGAACAGAGGAAGGGGTCAGGGGTCGTTTGGGGGTTTGATGAACACATTGACTGGGAGGGTTTGCTTAAGTCTAGGGCCGCCCTGAATCAGACACTGGTGGGCGATCTGCACTTTAGCTGCGTTAAAAGGTCTATAAATATTTAATATGCTGATAGATTTTTACAAAACCCTGCATTTGTTATACTTTGTGTCATTGTGAATAGCCAGTCAGTCATAATACACATTCAAGTTTCATGAAAGGATTCTTGTTTTTTGACAGATGTGACTTGGCATTTAATAAGTGAATCAGATACAGATTTATAGCCTTTGAGAAAGAAGTGCACATACTTACACATACAGTACAACAAATACTGTTAAGATTTGCAGACAGAAAGCGCAGAACAGCCCGGGAAGCTCAAAAAGATCTTTATTAAAGGGATAATTCACCCAAAAATGAAAATTAAGTAATTAATTACTCACCCACATGCTGTTTCAGTGAGTTTCAGATTCAGTGTGTGTGTTTCCAGGGATGAGCCAGTGCTTGTTACAGTGAGTTTCAGATTCAGTGTGTGTGTTTGCAGGGACGAGCCGGTGCTTGTTACAGTGTGTTTCAGATTCAGTGTGTGTGTGTTTGCGGGGACGAGCCAGTGCTTGTTCCAGTGAGTTTCAGATTCAGTGTGTGTGTTTGCAGGGATGAGCCAGTGCTTGTTCCAGTGAGTTTCAGATTCAGTGTGTGTGTTTGCAGGGATGAGCCAGTGCTTGTTACAGTGAGTTTCAGATTCAGTGTGTGTGTTTGCAGGGATGAGCCAGTGCTTGTTCCAGTGAGTTTCAGATTCAGTGTGTGTGTGTTTGCGGGGACGAGCCAGTGCTTGTTCCAGTGTGTTTCAGATTCAGTGTGTGTGTGTTTGCGGGGACGAGCCAGTGCTTGTTACAGTGTGTTTCAGATTCAGTGTGTGTGTTTGCAGGGATGAGCCAGTGCTTGTTACAGTGAGTTTCAGATTCAGAGTGTGTGTTTGCAGGGATGAGCCAGTGCTTGTTCCAGTGAGTTTCAGATTCAGTGTGTGTGTGTTTGCGGGGACGAGCCAGTGCTTGTTCCAGTGTGTTTCAGATTCAGTGTGTGTGTGTTTGCGGGGATGAGCCAGTGCTTGTTCCAGTGTGTTTCAGATTCAGTGTGTGTGTTTGCAGGGATGAGCCAGTGCTTGTTACAGTGAGTTTCAGATTCAGTGTGTGTGTTTGCAGGGATGAGCCAGTGCTTGTTACAGTGAGTTTCAGATTCAGTGTGTGTGTTTGCAGGGATGAGCCAGTGCTTGTTACAGTGTGTTTCAGATTCAGTGTGTGTGTGTTTGCAGGGATGAGCCAGTGCTTGTTACAGTGAGTTTCAGATTCAGTGTGTGTGTTTGCAGGGATGAGCCAGTGCTTGTTCCAGTGAGTTTCAGATTCAGTGTGTGTGTTTGCAGGGATGAGCCAGTGCTTGTTACAGTGAGTTTCAGATTCAGTGTGTGTGTTTGCAGGGATGAGCCAGTGCTTGTTACAGTGAGTTTCAGATTCAGAGTGTGTGTTTGCAGGGATGAGCCAGTGCTTGTTCCAGTGAGTTTCAGATTCAGTGTGTGTGTGTTTGCGGGACGAGCCAGTGCTTGTTCCAGTGTGTTTCAGATTCAGTGTGTGTGTGTTTGCGGGGATGAGCCAGTGCTTGTTCCAGTGTGTTTCAGATTCAGTGTGTGTGTTTGCAGGGATGAGCCAGTGCTTGTTACAGTGAGTTTCAGATTCAGTGTGTGTGTTTGCAGGGATGAGCCAGTGCTTGTTACAGTGAGTTTCAGATTCAGTGTGTGTGTTTGCGGGGATGAGCCAGTGCTTGTTACAGTGTGTTTCAGATTCAGTGTGTGTGTTTGCAGGGATGAGCCAGTGCTTGTTACAGTGAGTTTCAGATTCAGTGTGTGTGTTTGCAGGGATGAGCCAGTGCTTGTTACAGTGTGTTTCAGATTCAGTGTGTGTGTTTGCAGGGATGAGCCAGTGCTTGTTACAGTGAGTTTCAGATTCAGTGTGTGTGTTTGCAGGGATGAGCCAGTGCTTGTTCCAGTGTGTTTCAGATTCAGTGTGTGTGTTTGCAGGGATGAGCCAGTGCTTGTTACAGTGAGTTTCAGATTCAGAGTGTGTGTTTGCAGGGATGAGCCAGTGCTTGTTCCAGTGAGTTTCAGATTCAGTGTGTGTGTGTTTGTGGGGATGAGCCAGTGCTTGTTCCAGTGAGTTTCAGATTCAGTGTGTGTGTGTTTGCGGGGACGAGCCAGTGCTTGTTCCAGTGTGTTTCAGATTCAGTGTGTGTGTTTCCAGGGATGAGCCAGTGCTTGTTACAGTGAGTTTCAGATTCAGTGTGTGTGTTTGCAGGGATGAGCCAGTGCTTGTTACAGTGAGTTTCAGATTCAGTGTGTGTGTTTGCAGGGATGAGCCAGTGCTTGTTACAGTGAGTTTCAGATTCAGTGTGTGTGTTTGCAGGGATGAGCCAGTGCTTGTTACAGTGAGTTTCAGATTCAGTGTGTGTGTTTGCAGGGATGAGCCAGTGCTTGTTACAGTGAGTTTCAGATTCAGTGTGTGTTTCCAGGGATGAGCCAGTGCTTGTTACAGTGAGTTTCAGATTCAGTGTGTGTGTTTGCAGGGATGAGCCAGTGCTTGTTACAGTGAGTTTCAGATTCAGTGTGTGTGTTTAGAGTGAGTTTCAGATTCAGTGTGTGTGTTTAGAGTGAGTTTCAGATTCAGTGTGTGTGTTTAGAGTGAGTTTCAGATTCAGTGTGTGTGCTTGCAGGGATGAGCCAGTGCTTGTTACAGTGAGTTTCAGATTTAGTGTGTGTGTTTGCAGGGATGAGCAAGTGCTTGTTACAGTGTGTTTCAGATTCAGTGTGTGTGTTTAGAGTGAGTTTCAGATTCAGTGTGTGTGCTTGCGGGGATGAGCCAGTGCTTGTTACAGTGAGTGTCAGATTCAGTGTGTGTGTGTTTGCAGGGACGAGCCAGTGCTTGTTACAGTGAGTGTCAGATTCAGTGTGTGTGTTTTCAGGGATTGCTGTAAAATCGGTTGTGTGTTTTCAGACCAAGACACCTGGAGTGGGCTTTGTGAAGATTCATGCTCCTTGGAACGTGCTCTGTCGCGAGGCTGAGTTCATGAAACTGAAGATGCCCACTAAAAAAGTAAGGTTTGTCCAGCATGCCCAGTGTAAAGCAGAGATGTGACGAGTGATGACTGTGATGACGCTGTGCTCCTACTGTAGGTGTATGAAGTCAAACACAGAAGCGGCGTAATGGAAAAGATCAACGCGTTCATCAGCAAACTTACAGATCCTCTTCATCCCAACCTAGAAGAGAACCGCACGCAGAAAGTGAAGCACCTCTCGTACCCGTTCTCCAGAGAAAAGCAGCATCTGTTAGTGTCCGCCTCCATTCTCAAGCACCAAACACTTCTTAATGTCTGTTATATGTGCTGTTATAGACAGTAGGTGCGACTCCTTTTTAGTTTTTAGTTATTTTACTTTTAAAGTTATTAGTAAGTGTGTAGTTATAAAAATCACAAACGTACAGTATGCACATACTGTACTGATGATAATATCTACATCACACACCCTAATGCGTAACTTATACTTTGGGCTTTGAGAAACATTTTCAATGTTTTAGGACAAATTTTATATGGGAGCATAAAAATTACAGGAACAATCAAGTTCACTTTGTAAGGTCATAATATTAATATATTCTTGGCAATGTAGGTGTCACAACAATTGAACCATTTGCAATGTCTGGGTCTCAGAATCAATATATACAAGAGCAAACTGTGATCTTTATGGGCACGGTCATCGACTCTATGACTATGAGAGTGTGCCTCACAGCAGAGCACATGCTCTCTATTCAACAGCTCGCAGCCTCATTTAGGGTTAGGTTGGGGAGTGTTACACGAGAGCAAGCCTGTCTCCGGCCTCTGGTCAAGTGCAGAGCAGAGCTTACACATCAACTGCCTGGAAATGAAAGCAGTTTGTCATTTCTGCCAAACATTAGGGGACACCAGGTGTTAGTCCGGACGCTAATACATCTGTAGTGTCTTACATTGGTCGGGCAGCCTGTACGCCCTGGTGAGAGATCTCCTTATTTGCACTCAAGCCAATCTGAGCTCCCTGAGAGCAGCACCTATACCAGGCATCCTCAACAGGAGTGAGGATATGCTGTCACGGGGCAACACTTCCCTAGGCGAGGGGTCCCTGATATGGAAAGTGTTTGGCGAGGCCGAAATCGACCTCCTTGCCCCAAAGAACAGCACTCATTGCACAGTGTTCTTCTCGAAAAACAGGGATGCGTTGGCCCATCGTTGGGCCAACTGCCCCCTTTACGCATTTCCCCCCATCTCAATGAGACCCCAGGTTATCAAGCGGGTCAGGGAGAGCGGATGCACAGTCCTCCTGGTAGCCCCCCTCTGGAAATCCAGAACATGGTTTCCGGAGCTGGTTCAGATGGTGGACAAAGTCCCATGGCTGATTCCATTGAGGAAAGACCTCCTCACACTGGCGGAAGGGACGATATGGCATCCACGACCCGATTTATGGGCTCTCCATGTGTGGCCCCTCAATAGGTACCCGGGGACCTTCCTGAGAATGTCCTAAGCATGATCAATGAAGCCAGAGCCCCTTCTACTAGGCGCCTGTATGCTTCTAAATGGTCAGTGTTTTCCTGTGTCATGCGAGGTACCAGTGGTGCTCTCCTTCTTACAAGAGCTATTAGATGCGGGCAGGACCCGTCCACGCTCAAAGTGTATGTGGCAGCCATCGCAAACTTTGCTGAAATTAAAGGTACTGGAACTGGAAGTGTTCTTTTAAAGCTACACTGTGTAACTTTTATTCTTAGCTAAAAACACTTAGTTCTTTGTAAAAATATATGTGCTCATTAATGTATATTTACTTCGTTCGAGTAATAAAGTATTCTCTTGAGTGTATAATATGCCATAGGAAATACATACGAGTAAGGGGTTCTAATGTCGGCCGCCATGTTGCCCCTCCATCTTGAAAGTACATTAGCCAAAGAGGGACATACCCGTTAATTCAAGCTTGGCCTTTCGTGTTTACGTTTGAGTTAACACTCATAGACGAGGTCGAACTGAAAGCCATGTTAATCTTGGACTACATTGGCCACCGTAGGAGTTAAAACGAAATCGGAATTGAGAGGAACAGAAACTAATATTCACTGGATGGTCATATATCTAGATGGGGGTAAAAATCACACAGTGTAGCTTTAACTAAACAAAATAAAAAAAAAATAAAAAAGTGAAATGTGAAACTAAATAGTATATAAAAAACTGAAAACCATTAATGAAACTAACTAAAAAAAACTAGAATCTATTTGAAAATGATATTAAAATAAAGTGTAAAACTAAAGTGGACCTTCGTAGTGAAAGTGTTGCCTTATATTTCAGCAGTGTTTACAGCAAGTTACTGGCCCTAGTGCAGTTGAGTTCTGTTCAGGTGTTATGAATGAGATTTGCACTTGTGATCTGTGTGAATGGACCTGAATGCAAGAGAAAGATTGACGCAAAACACGCACTGATAAACATTGTGACCTTTTATCTTTACAGGTTTGATTTATCCGACAAAGATTCCTTTTTTGACAGTAAAACAAGAGGCTCAATAGTAAGTATAAAGTATTGTCAGATGCATAGTATTAATGTCATATTTGATCATTAAATGTTTTGATAAGTGCATTGTTTTAGGTATGTGAAGTTTTGAAGCGAACCAAGTGCACAAAAGCCAAATTCAGCATGGGTGAGCTACCGCTTTGCCTATGCAGTTTGAAATCTATTATAGTTTTTTTTCTTTTTAAATGAACAGCACCACATTTCAGTGCTCCATACACTTAGATGTGCATCATTGACAGCAAACGTGTAACTGACGGAACAATCCCTCTGACATGTTGTTCAGGAATCACCAGCCTGTTGGGCAGCGGCGTTTATCTGGCTGCGTATCCACTGCATGATGTGAGTATCCAGCACTGTTTCTGTGGATCTGACACAGAGTTAGTTTGATTAATGGCTGCGTTAGCACTGGAATGATCTGTAGGATATGATAGATTATTCTCTTTACCATCAGGGTGATGTTGAAGGGGAGAACGCTGAGCCTAATGACCGAAAGGTGAGTGTCAGTGCTGTGTGTGACCTCTGTGTGATTGAACAGTTGAACCGCAGACAGTGTGATTTAATGGTGACGACTTTGGTGAAGACTGTGGTGAAGACTGTGGTGATAGTGAAGGCCGTGTTTCTGTCTGTATTTCAGCTGCTGTATGAAGAGTGGGCGAGCTACAGCGTCTTCTACAAGTACCAGCCCATCGGCTTGATCCGGTACATCTCAGACTCTCACACAGCTCTCTCCGCACTTGAGCTTCGTTAGTAATCTCTCGGTTGTCTCGCAGGAAGTACTTTGGGGAGAAGATCGGCCTCTACTTTGCTTGGCTTGGGGTTTATACCCAGATGCTGATCCCTGCTTCCTTAGTGGGCGTCATTGTCTTCCTCTATGGATGCGTTACTGTTGATGACGACATTCCCAGGTCAGTGGCCAATCAAAACGCACGGTGCACGCATATGATGGTTATTCATTCCAAATTACATGACCAAAAATTGTTAGTTTGTAACGTAATCCATTTCATTTCATTTTTTAAGTAGGGTTATTATGCATAATTTCAAGTATCTAACCCTAACCCTAACCGTTAATCTATCCACCTTATTCTGCTCTAAACAATGACGACGACTTTGGTTGTCAACTTCTGGTTCGAGTCTGGTCTATGCTTTTTGCCATGTGTTTTAGATTGTCTCATCCCCACATCGCTAAACTAAATCGAAAAAAGAAAATGTGATCTGATCATGTTATTTTTTATTAAATCACAGATAAAAACAAAACGAACGTTTGTCTTTTCTTACTAACTTCCAAAGGATAGCTGATGCATGACTGCACGATCTCCCTAATCCAGCAATGAACATCCGACAGTTTCTATCACCCCGACTGCTGCAGAATAACAGTACTAAAAAGTTAGCCTGGTTAGCCCTTTGACTATTGTCTAACTCTGCTTTCAAAGATACATAGTCTATATATTTCTCACTCAGGCCTGTGAGGTTAGGCATAACGTTATGCCGAGTTTCATTCATGAGACCAAAGTCCAGTTTGCGCCTCCGTCATGATCATCTATTGTTTATATACTTCTTATTTATTAAAACCTGTCAATTGGTAACTTTAAAGAAAGGTTTCTTTCTGGTTTCTCTTTAAGATCTCTGTAAAAGTCGCTTTCAGAACGATATTTTTCTAATGTCTGGACCACTGATCTAGATAATATATCATTGTATATAGATGAGTGGTCTGGACTTGAGTGTTAGCATTCTATGTAAACAAATACTTCAACAGGAAGTACAAAACCGTTTAGTCAGTTGAACACGCAATGAATCATGGGAAATAGAACGGGCGCAGAATAAGGTGGATAGTACTAAGTACATGTAGTTCCTTAATATTACTCAGTACTTGTTTGAGTTTAGTACATTGTAACTATGTCTCCTAAATAAAGTGTAACCTTGGAATCTGATTATGTAATCCAGATTACATGTAACTAGTTACTAACCAGCACTGTATATTCCTAAACAATTAATTTAGTCTATTTAGAAACCCAACACTTTTAAATAATTCAACAAAGGCAGAACCCAGCAGTCTGAGTAAAAAATAAACTAGCAAATTTTAGAGTATAGTTTCCACAAAACATTTTTGACAAGTTCTATTTTAATAAATGGAAATGCTGTTAAATCATGTGTCAGTGAAGCTCATTTCTTCAATAGGTTTCTTTCTTTGTGATGCCAGAAATACTGCTGGGTAATAAAGTTGAGCCCCCCCATCCTGAGCTAAAGCCTCAAACTGCTCAAGAGGAAGTTCATACGCTGAGAAAGAGCATATAAAACCCAAACATCTGTCTGAAAGTCCCTCTGGAGTTTGTCTCTGTCAGGATATTATGACAGCCTGAAAAGAGCCTGCTGGAACTGATCCTGCATTTTTATCCAGAAACTACACCTAAAATAGTTTCATTTAAAATAATGTTGTGATAGGTTTTGTACATGAGAGTGAAGGATAGAATGGGAGTTGGAAATTGTGTAACCTTTAGAAAATGAACCGAATGAGATGAAATGTATTAAAGTACAGTATGTAATGAAGCAGAGGTAACAGTCTGAAGCTGAACTGGATCAGGTGTGTGAGAGTCTCTACTCAAGCGCTTCTTCTGTGTGCAGTATGGAGATCTGTGACCAGCGGAGGAACATCACCATGTGTCCGCTGTGTGACCGCGTGTGCAGCTACTGGAACCAGAGCACGGCGTGTGGGACGGCCCGCGCCAGCCACCTGTTCGACAACCCCGCCACCGTCTTCTTCTCCATCTTCATGGCACTATGGGGTGAGCTACCGAGATCCTGAGATCCCAAGAGCCTGAGCTCCCGAGAGCCTGAGATCCAGAGACTCCGTGATTAAATTAACACTCCTGGTGTACATATACACTCACCTAAAGGATTATTAGGAACACCTGTTCAATTTCACATTAATGCAATTATCTAATCAACCAATCACATGGTAGTTGCTTCAATGCATTTAGGGGTGTGGTCCTGGTCAAGACAATCTCCTGAACTCCAAACTGAATGTCAGAATGGGAAAGAAAGGTGATTTAAGCAATTTTGAGCGTGGCATGGTTGTTGGTGCCAGACGGGCCGGTCTGAGTATTTCACAATCTGCTCAGTTACTGGGATTTTCACACACAACCATTTCTAGGGTTTACAAAGAATGGTTTGAAAAGGGAAAAACATACAGTTTGCGGCAGTCCTGTGGGCCAAAATGCCTTGTTGATGCGAGAGGTCAGAGGAGAATGGGCCGACTGATTCAAGCTGATAGAAGAGCAACTTTGACTGAAAGAACCACTCGTTACAACCGAGGTATGCAGCAAAGCATTTGTGAAGAAGACACAACACACACAACCTTGAGGCGGATGAAGACCCCACCGGGTACCACTCATCTCCACTACAAATAGGAAAAAGAGGTCACAATTTGCAAGAGCTCACCAAAACTGGACAGTTGAAGACTGTAAAAATGTTGCCTGGTCTGATGAGTCTCGATTTCTGTTGGTAGAGTCAGAGTTTGGCGTAAACAGAATGAGAACATGATCCATCATGCCTTGTTCCCACTGTTGGGCTGGTGGTGGTGGTGTAATGGTGTAAAGGGGGATGTTTTCTTGGCACACTTTAGGCCCCTTAGTGCCAATTGGGCATCGTTTAAATGCCACGGCCTACCTGAGCATTGTTTCTGACCATGTCCATCCCTTTATGGCCACCATGTCCCCATCCTCTGATGGCTACTTCCAGCAGGATAATGCACCATGTCACAAAGCTGGAATCATTTCAAACTGGTTTCTTGAACATGTCAATGAGTTGACTGTACTAAAATTACCCCCACAGTCACCAGATCTCAACCCAATAGAGCATCTTTGGGATGTGGTGGAACGGGAGCTTCGTGCCCTGGATGTGCATCCCACAAATCTCCATCAACTGCAAGATGCTATCCTATCAATATGGGCCAACATTTCTAAAGAATGCTTTCAGCACCTTGTTGAATCAATGCCACGGAGAATTAAGGCAGTTCTGAAGGCGAAAGGGGGTCAAACACAGTATTAGTATGGTGTTCCTAATAATCCTTTAGGTGAGTGTTGGTCCAACTACAGGGTGTTAAAAATTATTGAAGGCAAGAGAAACAACAAGAAGAGAAAAAAAGCCATTACACACTATTGCACTTATAGACAGATATGTTTTATGGAATTTTTCATTTCAAGTCACCATTATGATGGTTAGCGTTTGCTTTAGGTGAGCTCTTGACCCTTTTTTATGGTTCGATTTTCTCTGTTCAAACGTTGTGTTTATAAAGCACATTTGTTACTGTGAGAGAGAAAGAAGACAATTCAGCTGCATAATTTATTTATGCTGTAATGCATGATGTGAGCCATGGATGCATTTTGATTGGTGGCTCCCATAATGCACTTCAACATGAAGCATTTGTGTGATTGTCACTATTGTTGAGATACATATGTAGATTCTTGATATCTGTGTTTAATTTTAAAACCTTCAGATTATTAAAGCACTGCTGGAATTAGCTACTGTAATTAATATGAATAAAACATTTGTATAATCAGTTCATAATGCTGGTTCAATGTATCAGGCCACTACAGGATTGTAGGATTTGATTTGATCAAAACATTACCATCATTACCTGGACTTCATTTCCAAAAAGCATCTTAAGTCTAACTTGATCGTAGAACAATTTCAACAAAAGGTCTGTACAATCAAATTAGGCTTACAATGCTTTTGGGAAATGCAGCCCTGGTCATAATTTCTCTTGCCACAACAAATGCGCTTTAGGAACACAGAGTTGGAGTGGCCAGATGAAAACTTATTTTAAAAATAAGTAAAAAATAAGCCCAACTAAAAAATTCAAGAGCCCAACTAAAGCAAACACTGATCACCATAATGGTGACAAGAAATGAAAGATTCCACAAAACACCACAATCTAAACTTCTAAAAATATAAATAAGACAGTGTGTAGATGTATGACAGAAATAAAGTCATACTGGTAATACTAAGTGCAATAATGTGTAATGGCTCGAAGTCAGTAGTTCTTGTGTTTCTCTTTTATTCTGTTCTTGTTGATTCTCTCTCCTTCAATGATTCTTCATTAACATTAGGTGTCACCACTAATGGCCAATCATTACTTAATCACTTAGTTATCTAATTAACTTTTTTCTCAAATTTTTAACACCCTGTGGTTGGACCTACAGTCAAGTCAAGTCTTCCTCATTTATGTAGCGCTTTTAACAATGTCACATTTACATTGCACTATATTTACACCAGGAGTGTTAATTTAACACTGGGGAGTTGGCTGTGTGAGATCCCAAGAGCCTGAGATCCTGAGATCCCGAGATCCTTAAACCTCGAGATCCTGAGATCCCTAAACCCCGAGATCCTGAGATCCCGAGATCCCTAAACCCCGAGATCCTGAGATCCCTAAACCCTGAGATCCTGAGATCCTGAGATCCCGAGATCCCTAAACCCAGAGATCCTGAGCTCCTGAGATCCCTAAACCCTGAGATCCTGAGATCCCTAAACCCTGAGATCCTGAGATCCCTAAACCCTGAGATCCTGAGATCCCTAAACCTCGATCTCTTGAGATCCCTAAACCTCGATATCCTGAGATCCCTAAACCTCGAGATCCTGAGATCCTTAAACCCCGAGATCCTGAGATCCCTAAACCCAGAGATCCTGAGCTCCCGAGAGCCTGAGATCCCTAAACCCCGAGATCCTGAGCTCCTGAGATCCTGAGATCCCTAAACCCTGAGATCCTGAGATCCCTAAACCCTGAGATCCCTAAACCTCGATATCCTGAGATCCCTAAACCTCGAGATCCTGAGATCCCTAAACCTCGAGATCCTGAGATCCCTAAACCTCGAGATCCTGAGATCCCTAAACCTCGAGATCCTGAGATCCTTAAACCCCGAGATCCTGAGATCCCTAAACCCAGAGATCCTGAGCTCCCGAGAGCCTGAGATCCCTAAACCCAGAGATCCTGAGCTCCCGGGAGCCTGAGATCCCTAAACCCCGAGATCCTGAGATCCCGAGATCCCTAAACCCCGAGATCCTGAGATCCCTAAACCCTGAGATCCTGAGATCCCTGAACCCCGAGATCCTGAGATCCCGAGATCCCTAAACCCAGAGATCCTGAGATCCCTAAACCCTGAGATCCTGAAATCCCGAGATCCCTAAACCCAGAGATCCTGAGCTCCTGAGATCCCTAAACCCTGAGATCCTGAGATCCTGAGATCCCTAAACCCTGAGATCCTGAGATCCCTAAACCCTGAGATCCTGAGATCCCTAAACCTCGATCTCCTGAGATCCCTAAACCTCGATATCCTGAGATCCCTAAACCTCGAGATCCTGAGATCCTTAAACCCCGAGATCCTGAGATCCCTAAACCCAGAGATCCTGAGCTCCCGAGAGCCTGAGATCCCTAAACCCCGAGATCCTGAGCTCCTGAGATCCTGAGATCCCTAAACCCTGAGATCCTGAGATCCCTAAACCCTGAGATCCCTAAACCTCGATATCCTGAGATCCCTAAACCTCGAGATCCTGAGATCCCTAAACCTCGAGATCCTGAGATCCCTAAACCTCGAGATCCTGAGATCCTTAAACCCGAGATCCTGAGATCCCTAAACCCAGAGATCCTGAGCTCCCGAGAGCCTGAGATCCCTAAACCCAGAAATCCTGAGCTCCCGAGAGCCTGAGATCCCTAAACCCAGAGATCTTGAGCTCCTGAGATCCCAAGATCCTCAGATCCTCAGATCCCGGGATCCCTAAACCCAAAGATCCTGAGCTCTCGAGAGCCTGAGATCCTGAGACCCAGTGATCCTCCATTCTGCTCCTCCATCAGTGTAGCCTTGTGTTTGATCCGACTGTCAGCCTTTCCTCAAGCAATCATCAGCACACACACACATATGTACACACACACACACATGCACTCTAACCTGACCCCTAAACCTACCCATTAGACTCACACACACACACACACACACACTCGTATGTATGTTGAATATTAGCTATAGTTGTCATGTGGTAGTAACTGTTAATCAGACACAGTATATTGCCTTACCGGTGCCATCTAGAGTTAGCTTACTTTAGCAAGTCTTTAGTGAATTCCCCCTGTTAGTTGGGGAATCTGGAGCTGTAAGAACAGTGTGTGTCTCTATCTCTGAACAGCTCTGTCTGTTTCAGAGTAAACATCTCCCGTCTGGAGGGTTTTATCATGCATGCGTGTACGGCTCTGCTCTGCTCAGTGTCGAGCGCTCAGGGATCTGGACAGGAAGTCGTGACTTCGGCTCGATTCGCAGGGCAGGAGTTCACACACCAGATTTACTGCGCAGGAGACGCACGACAGATGCTGCTCGTCCAACACACACACACACATCACAGAGTATCAGCCGAGCATCGTGTGTCTTACAGTGTCCTGCAGAAATCGTCACTGTTCTTCATTCAGGCTCTGTGTGGCTGGAAAGTCTCTTATGACTTTCTTTTGAATTCTCATCCATGGATTCGACCAATACAGGAAAATATCTTTATTATGCATCATTAATCACCTCTATAATCCAACCGTTAATATTTGATCAGTTCCTGCTACATTTAGCGCAGTTCCTCAGGTGTGTGATGAGTTCATTAGCTGCTGTCAGTGTGATTAATGCTGGTGTGTGTGTTGCAGCGGCGTTCTTCATGGAGCACTGGAAGAGGAGACAGATGCGGCTCAACTATGAGTGGGATCTCACAGGCTTCGAGGACGAGGAGGTCTGATCACATGACCACACACACACACACAGTCACATGATCACCACAGCTCATTTCTCTAGTGTCATTTAATGTTGTCATCCTCTTCTTCCCCGATGTGTGTGTGTGTTTGTAGGAAGCACTGAAGGTTTGAACATATTAAAATCTCTGATCGCTGACTGTATTCTCTTTATCCACAACTCACAGCTTTCCTCTCGAGTCTTTCACAGGGTTTCTAGCATGCGGACAGCTTTACACTCACCTGAAGACATACATCTTTCTCTCTTTCTCTCTCCCTTTTTTCTTTCTTTCCTTCTTTCTATCTTTCTTTCTCTCTTTTCTCGTTTTCGAGTCAGTTCTGTCATATATATATATTTGTTTACGTCAGGATCACCCGCGAGCCGAATATGAATTCAGAGTCATGCAGAAATCTCTGAGGACAGACCACAAATCCCAGAAGGTGATTTCATGATAAATATGTTTGCGATGCTCTATAGCATTTCTGTGGAGCTGCTTTGAAACAGTATGAATTGCCCAAATGAACAGCAGTAGACTATGATATTTGCAATTTGAGTTCATCTTTTATTTAAATCATTTAATAGTTATCGGTTTTGTTTAAATATTCATAACCATGGAATTACTAGGTTAAAATTAGATCCCTAAGCTTGCTAACACTAAAAATACCACTCTCTGATGTGAACACTGAAGGACATGAGGCTCTACCTCAGTGTTTCGCACTTGTTGTCCACTACAAATATCTAAACATTCTTACATTAAAAAACATTACTGAACACATTGAGTCTTATTTATGAAAAATATATCAAAATGAAGTGAGTATTGCTGAAACTGCCAATGCGGTCAGAAAAATAAGCTAAATTTAAATGGAAAGCGAGTTATTTTTCTGACCCCATTGGTGGATATTATATTTGTTCTTGTTTTAAGCATAAAGTCACTCAATTTTGATGATTTTATTTTCAGTAAACTACACTTAATACCTGAAATCTTTGTAATAGCCCAGTAGATATTTGTGCTGAAAAGCTTGTTCTTTTTTTTCTTTAGCCAGAGAAAGAGAAGCTGACATGTAAAGACCGATTCCCTGCGTACATGACAAACCTCATCATGATGCTTTTAATGGTAAGGCTTGTGTTTCATATGAAGTCATACATCCGCCCACACCTCCGGGTAACACTTTACCATAAAGTCTAATTTGTTAACATTAGTTCATGCATTAGCTAACAACATTTCTTAACCTTCATTTTAGTAATAGAGATGCAGTAATTTAAAGGGGTTCTATTGTGCCTGTTTCTAAAATATGTTTTCATGCTTGATTGTTCAGAAAACACATTATTTTTTACATATTTATTTTATTACAGCTCCTCTCTCCCCAGTCTGGCTCAAACACACTGATTTCGGTGCACAAGTCCAAATTTGCTGTGATTGGTTAGTTGGCCCAGTGTGTTGTGATTGGCAGCTATTAGCAAGTGTCCAGGAAATGTCCCGCCCTCCAGAACCGCAAGCTCTAGTCAGCTGTAAATATTAATGATGGCGTCAATTTCAAACCAATTCGAGCCCGATTCAGACCCTGACAATGTTAACCTACACGAGGATCGAGCAGAACGGATTTAAAGGATCACTTGGCTGATAATTTACTCACCCCATGTCATCCAAGATGTCCACGTCATTCTGTCTTCAGTCGAAAAGAAATTAAGGTTTTTGATGAAAACATTCCAGGATTTTCTCCATATAATGGACTTCAATGGGCACCAAACGGTTCAATGACATGGGGGTGAGTAAATGAGCATTTTTAAAAAGTTTAATCCTTTAATTCAGACTTTGCAAGCAATGATTTCACAGGACGCTTCAGAGTGGTATGTTTTTTAGTTTTTTTCCTGATACAATTTTAAGTTAGGAAGGTCAAACAAGTGTAAAAAACAGTGTCTCTTTGAGAAAGCGCCAACACTGTCTTCTCTAATGCAACTCAACCAACAGCAACAGTACACACTAGCTAAAGCTGAAAAAGTGGAAATCATAATAGGACCCCTTTAAGGTTTGTTCATGTTCATTTACTAATGTTGACACAATTTTTGATTTTAACAGATACAACATTTGGTTTTGTATTAGTAAATGTTGAAATTAGCATTGTATAGGTGAATAAATGGTGTAAAATCATTGTTAATTGTTCATGTTAATATACATATCTAATGCTAATAAATGAAAGCTTAATGTAACGTGTTACCCACATCTGAACATCAATATTCATATTCAATCCTGCATGTGAATATGAATATTTGGCAGACATTATGATTTCATGTAACCCTGTGATGCATGGTGTCCACTAGAGATCTTAACAAACCAATTTAACTATCCAGACCACCACGGGTGATGACCGATGACCCTTGCCCATCACTCTATATGACTGTCCTCTTTATAGGTCGTTGTGTTCTTTATTTATGACAACAAAAAATCAGCATGGCTGACCAAAGTGATGAAGCATCAACTGCCTCTGGAATATCAGCTTCTGTCTTTTATTCCAGGAGATCCCGACAGGTAATAATACACTTTTCAATAGAATGAGATCTAAGGAAAACTTGGTATTATTAATGTATTTGTTGCTGTTCACCAAAATACATCTGTCATAGTGGGCACCATGCATCATGTACATCTGTTCACTGGGCATTTACCATATATACAGCACTATCATTCAACATTTTGTGGTCAGAAATTAAGACTTATTTAGAAAGGACAAATGTCAAAAATGTTAAAGAAATTCGGTTATGACTGTAACCCTGGTTCCCTGAGAAGAGGACCGATACGCTGCGTCTGGGCATTGGCGCTCTGGGAACGGGATCAGTGTGACTGGTGTCTGAGGCACTAAACAAACACCATTAATCATTGGCACACGGCAGTCCATGACGTCACATGCGGAGCGATGCGCAGACAGGTGCCATAGACAGCATCTCATTCCCTTCTCAGGGAACCAGGCGTTCCCTTTCAAAGTGGAACCTCGACGCTGCGTCTTGCTATTGGCACTATGGGGAACCAATACCCTCTCTCCACCGTGCTGAGGGAACGCCTGCCTCACTATGCTGGAATATGCACAAACATAGTGGTATAGCAAACATTAGCTGGGTTTCCATCCAAACGTGAAGAAAATCGTTTCCCATGTTTGGAAAAAAAAAAGGCGAATTAGGTGCGTTTCCATCAGGTCGTTCTAGCGGCTGACGGTGGTCCCCAAGTAAGCAACAGAATCAGCAGAAACAGTAGTGATGTGTGTTGTTCGACTCAATGAGCGACTGCTTTAAGAGAACGGTGAGAGTCGGTTCCCGTCTGAGAGCCGTTTACTCTTTTTTTTATATTAATACAAGACAGAATAATAATATTACCCTTTCGTTACACTGCTCAGCCACACAACAAGTAGTCCCTAGCTTGATGTTATTTTGATGTGTATGTGTATATCACATGTCATGACGTTAATCTGTTGCTCTCGATTCGTCGCACACACATATAGATACACATTAGCATAACATTCAGTCACTGCATGGAGTGTGTGTGGTCGAGCAGTGTGGGTTCTTTAAAGGAAAAGTTCACCCAGAAATTAAAATGACCCCCATTGACTCTACCCATGCGACTGATATAATGGCGTTGTTCCCTAAGCCCAAACTCCCTGATGATAGAAAAGATTCCCAGGCTCCTATGCTCTAGAGCAAGGGATGCCCGGGCTGTTACAGCTCCCTCTCTTATGGGACTGGCCTCAGCCCTATACGGCCCCGAAGGAGAAAATACCCCGCATTGCCTCAGGTACGTCAGGCATATCTCACCGGTATTTGAGAAGGCTTTTAGGGAGTATCCTACCGAAGGAGAGCTTCTACTCCCGTTTAATGATGCCAGATTGATTAGGGGAGATTAGCTCATACTCTGACTTGAGTGAAGGCCCTTCTCCAGGACTCACTATAGTTTATGGCTAAAGCTTTACATGGAAGGGGGAATCTCCTCAACCACCACCAATGTGCAGCTCCACCTGGATGATGCGACGGCAGCCATATTGGGCCACAACACCCACCAGCTTACTGGTGGAGAGGAGACCGTGATGAATCCAATTATATGGGAATGATTAGGTGGCCATGATGGACAGAGGCCACTGGGCAAAATTGGCCAGGACACCGGGGTCACACCCCTACTCTTTCAAAGGACATCCTGGGATATTTAATGACCACAGAGAGTCAGGACCTCGGTTTAACGTCTCATCCGAAAAACAGTGCTCTTTGACAGTGTAGTGACCCCATTACTATACACACACAGACCACAGGGTGAGCGCCCCCTGCTGGCCACACAACACCTCTACCAGCAGCAACCTGGTTTTCTCAGAAGGTCTCCCATCCAGGTACTAACCAGGCTCAGCCCTGCTCAGCTTCAGTGGGCAACCAGTCTTGATCAGTGTTGCAAACTGATGAGCGATATCAGCGATCCACCTATACTCATCAGTTTGTTACACTGTAATTACAGAACCCTCTTCATCACAACCCCATGATGGGGTGGGGATGGCACAGTGGATAAGACACATGCCATTGGTGTGAGAGACCCGGGTTCGAATCCACTGTGAGACACTAATGTGTCCCTGAGCAAGACACTTAACCCCTACTTGCTCCAGAGGCGTGGATAAAAGAGTCATGTAACACTGATCATCCCAAAGGGGTGGGTGTGCATATATCATAAGTATATATCCCTTCTTCAAGACCCAACAACAATGAAACAGAGGGACTCTTGTGAATCGCCCATCGTAGGTCAGTTCCCCCTGCTCTACCCCAAGGGCTACTTGAGTAGCCTTCCAAAGGAGGCATGTACGGTGCTAAAAACCTCAGTTATACACCACAGTTGATATGAACCTCTACAAAATGAACAGTTGTTTTCTTATCCTCAGTTGTGTCGCACAGTTAGTTTCGGCTTTGCTGTTTTGATCATGCAGTCATACATTCTCCAGCAGAATACCCAGGCTTCTGCTGTTATCTCAAACAAATGGCAACAAAAGCAAAACACTGGCCCAGAATCACGACCTTACAGTGAAACACTGAAGCTTTTGAGAAATCCTAAAAATACACATGAGCAGAAATAGTTTGAAGTCGAGGACTGGGCCCAAAACGCCTCCAGCTTCTCAATCTGATGGGCAGTCACACCGAGAGTCTTGACTAAAACTGTTAAAACATTTGATAAAAAAAACAAAAAAAAACTAATTCAAATAAAATGACAAACGCAAAAATTAAACTAAAATAATTATGATTATGCACTGAAAGATTCATAGCAACTTTATTTTTTTCCGTTAATATATGTGAGAAGCAAATCAATAATTTGTAAATAAACAACACCATCAATTATTAATTTGATATACTGTTTATTTTAAGGTGTATTCATTACAGTGTTCATTTAAATTGAAGTACTGAGTAATATTAATTAACAACAAGAACTTACTACAGGTTTAGGGTTAGTTGCATGTAATTGTGCTTTACTCTAATTGCTATAGTAAGTACTTAATCTTACTTTCATCGTCATATCATGGCTTCATTTGAGAGCGTAGTATTTTATCTTGTTTTTCACCGATTTATTGCTGGTGTTCCTCAGGTTGTGCTTTCAGTTGTGTACTCATACTCACTGTCTTCATTTAAAATATGTGCTTGAAAACACACTGAATGAAGTGCATCCTCACTGTTTTACAGATCGGTGTGACGTTTGCTATTGTGTTCGGGGTGATTTTATACCGGATCTCCACCAAAGCCGCTCTCGCCATGAGCTCGAACCCCATGACCCGCTCCAACGTCAGGCTGACGGTTAAAACCACCGCGGCCATCATCAACCTGGTGGTGATCCTCATCCTGGACGAAGTGTACGGGGCCGTGGCGCGCTGGCTCACTGTCCTCGGTCGGTCGCTTCGTCTAGCAGTGCTTAAAGGAGAACAAAATTAACCTTTGGTCTAATAAAATATTGGTACCTAGTCGACCGTTCTCAGAGATTTGTTTTCATGATAATCGAATGTAAAGAGTTTTATCTCTAAAAACTGTTTAGCGTATACGCTAGTATATGGGGGCATATAATCAGGGTTCTCAATTCTCACGCATTGGGCGTGAGACACACGCAATTCAACCAGTTGACACGCTCACACGCCACACCGGGTATTTCTCACGCTGAAAAGGCAACGTCAAAAAAAGATGTCCTGCAAGCTTTATATATAACATTGTATACGAGCCATAGGCACACGGTGAAGTTTCCTGCCGCCAGCACGTATCTCTCAGACAGACTGCGTTCATTACTAATCGTTAGGCAACACAGACGTGCGCCGTGAACACACCAAAGTTGACGGAACATTCTCGTCGTACCAGGTAACCAACAACAATCGCCGAACACACGTCGTGACGGAGAAGGGAAGAAGCTCGTCTAACATTTTTAGAAAAAGGGTTCTATATACAGTATGTAGCATAGGGTTCGTTACTCAACTGCAAAGGACCTTTTATCCAATAAAATGATGATAATGACAAGAAAGAACCCTTTTGGTACAAAGGTTCTTTATAGGCTATTATTCATTCACATATTACATTATTCTGCAACATTTTGCAGTTGTAATTAAATTATTGTTTATTAAACTGTTTTAGTAACTTAATATCCCATTTTTATGCTGATTTTTGAAGGATAAAAACTGAAATGGCACTCTTCGTGTGATATTGATTAATAACATTTTTTTCTTGAATTTTGTGATCATTCATGCATTGCATTTTAGGGGTTCCAAATAGCCTACGTAGTGCTTTAGAACCTTTTAAGGTTCTATATAGAACCTTTTCTTCTAAGAGTGTAGAACATTTAATATGTTGCCCATCGTATACATTATTATTGATGCAGTCAAAAACTCTACAACTACTTTGCAACCAGGCCAGAAGCTTTGGCTCAGTTTGGCTTACATTACCTGAATAGCCTATGTAAGGAAAATGTTTGTGGGTAGGTATGGGAAGGAATGAAGATGTATTTCTTCATTTTATTTTAAATTATATATTATACTGTATTAATAGTTCTAGTTACATTAAGGCTACATGTATTAAAGCAGAGTGCTCTGGGTAATATTTTATATCCGGTCAAAACATACATTAATTATTGCCATTGCATTTGTATTTTTCAAAGATGTTTGTGTACACACACAGAGACACACACACACTTTAATATTCTAATATGCCCATTTGTTCACAATGTCCCACCACACAATAAATCATTATACCATTTCGACACATTCAAAATGCAAAAAGATTTGTTTTTCCAAACTGTTTGAGCAATTTGTTATATTTTTGTAATTTTTTAAAAATAATTTTATTAATATAACATTAAAAAGTAGGCTATTTTTGATGTGATGAATTGCTCTGTCATTTATGAGATTTACCAATTGTTATAATGTCAATTTGTGCTGGTTAATTATGAACAATGGGTTTCATTTGGGCTCCTCCCCTAACCGCATGTGATCTCACTCCAAGCTTTTGATAAAACTTGAGAACCCTGATATAATAAGTAAAGAGAAATCGCTAGTTAATACCACTAACAAGGCTCAAAATAGCCCCACGCTAACACAGTAACATAATGAGGGTCCCCACATGCAAAACTAAGCATTGAGAACTGTGTAAGTGTACAGAGAGTTTAATAAGAAGATATTTTATAAAGACAGTGCACTTCGTGTATACAGGCAGCGCAATCTTTGGAAAACAGTCTCTACTAGTCGAACCGCGAACGCCATTCAGCTCATTTGGCACGGCGTTCGTGGTTCGACGAACGTTTTGCATGTAGGGACCCTCATTATGTGTGGGGCTATTTTGAGCCTTGTTAGTGGTATTAACTAGCGATTTCTCTTTACTTATTATATGCCCCCATATACTAGCATTATAATCTAAACATCTTTACATTCAATTATCATGAAAACAAATCTCAGAGAATGGTCGACTAGGTACCGATGTTTTATTAGACAAAAGGTTTATTTTGCGCCAGAGTTCAGAACATAAAACACAAGGGTTACTTCAATCATGTGTCTTGTGTTGGTCTTCTCAGAGGTTCCTAAAACAGACAAGAGCTTTGAAGAAAGGTTGATCTTCAAAACCTTCATCCTGAAGTTTGTGAATGCGTTCACTCCCATCATATACATCGCATTTTTCAGAGGCAGGTGGGTATTCAATATCCTCTATGGATGCTTGTTTCAGCCACAAAATATTTTTTTTTTGTTAATTTCAACTTTTTATCTCATACGTGTAGATACTGTAGAACTTGGAATTGTGGGAAAAATGGCAGAATTTTGAGATATAAAGTCAAAATTGAATGATATGTAATCATAATTGTGATATATAATCTTGTAATTGCGAGAAAAACGTCAGTCTTGTGAGAAATCAGTTTTTTTAATCTGTTGCGGAGACAAGCCTCCATAATTTCCAGAGCAGTTTTATCTCACTTGTCTTTCTGCATGTGCGTTTGTCTGTTGATTTACGGCTTGTTGAAGACGTGTGCCGCATGTGAGTGTGTTGACGCTGATAGCTGTGTTTCCGTACAGGCTCGGTGGGCGTCCAGGCAGTTATCTCTACGTGTTCGAGTCCTATCGCATGGAGGAGGTATGAGTCATGAACACACACACACACGCGCTGTGGTTGAGTGCGGCGGGTGACTGACGGCTGTTTTGATGTGTTTGATCAGTGCGCTCACGGCGGATGCCTCATGGAGCTCTGCATTCAGCTCAGCATCACAATGCTCGGGAAACAGCTCATCCAGAACAACCTGTTTGAGATCGGCGTCCCGTGAGTACAACGAGCACACACTGCTTTATGGACATGCTGAACAGTTTGCATTGCCATGGTTTGGGTTGTATGTGCTTTATTGCAGTAAACTGAAGAAGCTGATCAGATACATTAAATCCAAGAGACGCTCTTTCCAGGAAGAGGAATATGAGAAGAAGCTACAGCGCTATGAGACGGATCATTTCCTGGAGCCCTTCGCTGGCCTCACGCCCGAGTACATGGAAATGAGTGAGTGTCTTACACGCTCACAAGACAAACTCGTCATCGCAGCTCTTTTTTCATGTGTATATCATAGGAACAGAATGGTGCTGTTCTTTTCTCAATTCCCATTAAGAGCTAATACTGGTCAAGCTAAGACAAGAAAACTGGCTCGTGAGCTGTAATAAAGCTTCGGCTGTATAGCAGTATGAAGACGGCTTGTTTCTTATATTACTGCAGTAATTATTACTGTTCCATTCCTGCAGTAATCCAGTTTGGCTTTGTGACTCTGTTTGTGGCATCTTTCCCGCTGGCGCCTCTATTTGCCCTCCTCAACAACATCATTGAAATACGTCTGGATGCCAAGAAGTTTGTGGCAGAACTCAGAAGACCAGATGCAGCCAGAAGCAAAGACATCGGTCTGTACGCGTACACTTCTCACAATCATTCGATAAATCTTATATTATCAGTTTAAGCTCTGTGATGAGCATCCATAGCATCTCTGTCCACTTTCTTAAAACATTTGAACTTGTCCTCCAGTTTGAGAAAAATAATGTAATATAATTATAGACTGTATTATTGAGCAGGAATATTCTTGCAGATGTTCCTTTACATAATCTCAAGAGGTTCACCTCAAAGTCCTGATGCACTGATGTACAACACATTATGTCTTTACAGGAATCTGGTATAATATCCTCAGAGGAGTCGCGAAAGTGGCAGTTATTGTCAATGTAAGTCTGTTTGTGTTATTTGGTCCTTCTAATGCTAGCGAATCACATTTACCTGTGAACGCCCAAACTTGAATTACTTCTATTGTCCTGGCACTAGTCAAATTTGCATGTCAACTTGAAAATTTCTCAGTCAATAAGACTGTAACGGGGTTTGTTTTTATGGGAAGGGGGAGGCGGGAACCAGTGAATATTCAAGACTTTAATAATAAAATAAACAAATACAAAATGAAAGTAAAGCCAGCAGCGCCTCACGGACGACTGCTGGCCACAGAAACCAAACACAACATAAGTTCAGGCCTGTTCCTCTCTCTCTCTTCACTGCCTCCGTGAGAGATGCGCGACCGTTGCGTCTCACAGGAGTCGCTCATTACCACTCACGCCACTCGTCCTGCTCGCCACAAAGACCTTCGGATGACAACTGTTCCTCATGGAGACGTCTGTAAAATATAAGTCTGCATGCACCTGTGTTTCTGTGTTCTGTGTCCCATGAACCTGGGAACACGCTGCTCACATATACTAAATGACTGTTATTGCTTATTTTAACAATAGTAAAATAATATCCTCTGTATTATTTGTTTTTATTTAAATACCCTGTTTAAAAATAGGAAAGTTGACATGCTACCGTCTAAATGGTTTTCTGTATAGCATCTCTCAAAACGATGGATGTCCTTTAAAAAAACATGGAAAGTTGTAGAAATAGTTTGAAAAGTTTGTGCGCTTTTGTTCTTTTTGTTCTTAACAGCTCCCGCTCACTGTAGTGGATCAGTGGCATAATATTATTCTTTTAAATGGTTTCCAGCATTTCAGTAATACGTCTTTGAAATGTGTGCACATTATCACCACGAAGAGCAACAGTTATTGCACGATGCTCTGCAGTGGACAGAAAGATTTACAAAATGATTCAGGATTGATCCTCTCTTATAATCTCAGAGATGTGGATTTGGACGGCAGTTAAATCTCCTGACGATCTTGGGGTTCGACTGTAATTCCACCAGGAATTTTTACTAGAAAAAAACACTAACATTCTAGTTTCGGAAAGCAATAAAATCACTGACTGACCCCTGTAAATGTTGAAATCACGTTATGTCCCCATGTGAAACAAGTACAATCCAAATAGGGCAACAGTATTCACAGACTAAAGAACCCTTTACAGCAGTGGTCTCAAACTCCGCTTCTGGAGACTCAACTCATCTGTCTGGAAGTTCCCTTTCGAGGAAACCCACGCTGCGTCACTGTACAAGAGCGTCTCTTCTGCGATTGCGTCCTGTGGTATGGTGGGATATCTCAGGTGGGGGGACATCGTAACCAGGAAGCTATAAAGAGTGCCGGGACCAAACAATATTAGCTGCTATGTCCCAATTTGCCTACTAAAAGTATACTGTTTTTGAAAAGAAAAGGTAAATACTGAGTGTGGAGCAGAAGAGTATGCAAGCTTCGGGGCATACTACTTGGTCATAAGTGAGTCTAAAGGACGCTCTGACGCTTGGTTACGTGCAAACTGTGACTGTTTAAACTGCCCTGTCAATCATCTTGCCACAGTTAAAATCATCCACATTCAATAAAAATGAATTTCATACCATTTTGGAGAGAAATGTAGTCGCACGTTGATCTGCCAGCAGATTAAATGGTTTATTCCTCTCTGCCCTCGCTAAAAAAGCTGTAAGTTGCAAGTAGTCTCGTTCTCAGACCTGAAGAAATATTCCTCCTCGACGGAGCAGAAGGGGCTTCTTGTTTCAGGCAGGGGTTTAATCCTTCAACCCCTCCAGAGCTGGAAGCTGTGTGATTGGCCTCAGAGGGGCACAGTGCATAGCCTCAGGTCACTCAACTGATTCTTCACTCCAGAGCTCCCTCCATGAGGAAACTTAATTCGCTGTAGTGGAGAGTGTTCGCTTCATGGTGCAAGAATCATCAGCTGGATGATTGGTGCCCAGATCCTGCGGGAACGGTTCGCCGCAGGTTTAACCCCGTCCACCTTAAAGGTCTATGTCAGGGTTCTCCAAACTCGGTCTTGGAGGGCCACTGTCCCTGCAGAGTTTGATCAAACACACCTGAGCGAGCTAATCAAGGTCTTCAGAATCACTAGAAACTCACAGGTAGGTGTGTTTGATCAGGGTTGGAGCTAAACTCTGCAGGGACAGTGGCCCTCCAGGACTGAGTTTAGGGAACCCTGGTCTACATGGAGGCCATAGCTGCTTGGATGATGGGTCTTTGGGGAGGAATCCGCTGGTGAAACGCTTCCTCTGTGGTGTCTTGAGTCTGCGCGAGGGTACTGGCCTGAGATCTGGCCGTTGTATTGAAAAGTCTCTTTTTGGCTTCCTTTTAACCCATGAAGATGGCTCCAGTCAAGTTTCTGACTCTAAATATTGTGTTTGTCTTAGCCATTAGTTCTTTGAAAGATTAGGAGACCTCCAGGCCCTTCCAGTTACTTCGTCATGCCTAGAGTTTGCATCAGGAATGGTGAAGGCATTCTTACACCCGAGACTGGGCTATGGGCCCAAGGTACCAACTATTGTGCAACTTCCTATAGTTCTGCAGGTTTCTGCCTCCCCCTTTTCAAGTTCAAACCAGGAGAAGCTGCATTTAGTGTGTCCAGTTAGAGAAATTGACACTAATGTCCACAGAGCTGCCTTGTTGAGAAAGTCAGGCAAGTGATTTGTCTTCTTTAGTTCGCCCATGAAAGAGATCCCTTGACCAAGCAGATGCTGAGCGAGTGGATAGTCGAGTCTATTTCACTTGCTAACGAGGCTTCTGGACAACCTTCACTATGGCTGTTAGAGCTCATTCAACAAGGATTGTTGAAGTTTCTAAAGCTTAATTGTCAGGAGTATCCCTTCAAGATGTGTGTGATGTGACGGGCTGATCCTCTCCACTCACATTTGAAAGGTTTTGTGATGTGGACTTGGGCTCTGCACCAGGTTCTCAGCTGCTAATGTCATAGCTGTGCTTGTGATTCACACCAGACTGGCACGTGTCAGTACGATGTAGTGGTCCCTGAGAAGGCACTAAGACACTTGTAAGGAAAGGGAAGCAAAATTTCTGTCAGTATTGAATTGAGTTCTCTTTCGTGATGCAGCACTGGCATAACCGGGCAAGTGATAGTTGGATCAACTGTCCTGAGTGACATTTACGCTGGCCAAGGCAATCGGCAGTCCTTCTCACCGAGACCTGGATAAAGCTATACTCTGCAGGACACTGGCCCTCCAGGAACTGAGTTTGAGACCACTGCAGTTTACAGTTTGGATTCCCACTTAGATGACCACTGATTTTAACCATATTATATTGAATTAACTATAAAGTTATAGTCTATACTGAGTTAATGCCATTGAAAACTAAAATTGTAGCACTAGGATCCAGAGATATACCTTGACAAACACAATTGTACTGTAAGTAATGTTTGTGCAACCAATTTCTTTTTCCATATTTCACTTTAAAGGGTTAGTTCACCCTAAAATGAAAATGATGTCATTAATGATTCTCCCTCATGTCGCCCCAAGCCCGTCAGACCTCCGTTCATCTCCAGAACACAGTTTAAGATATTTTAGATTTAGTTCGAGAGCTTTCTGTCCCTCTGTTGAACATGTATGTACGGTATACTGTCCTTGTCCAGAAAGGAAATAAAGACATCATCAAAGTAGTCCATGTGACATTAGTGGGTTAGTCACAATGTTTTGAAGCATTGACAATACATTTTGGTCCGAAAATAACAAAAACTACACCTTTATTCAGCATTATATTGTCTTCCGGTTCTGTTGTGGATCCGCCTTCAGTGACGCTGCTGACGTAAGACGCGGCTGACGTGTGTCTCGTGCGTCCGTGTATTCGGGTTCAAATAAATATGGCTGGGCAAAAAATGCAAGTGTTCCTGTGTGTTGAAATCCTTAGACATGTTTGTGAAGATTGTTTTGTACAGCATGCGTCTAGACTGTAACCGAAGCTCAGCCGCGCCAGACACACGTCAGCCGCATCTTACGTCAGCAGCGGCACTGAACGCGGATCCACAACAGAACAGTTTCTGTTATTTTTGGACTAAAATGTATTTTTGATGCTTCAAAGCATTGTAACTAACCCACTGATGTCACATGGACTACTTTGATGATGTCTTTATTTCCTTTCTGGACAAGGACAATACCGTACAGACATGTTCAATGGAGGGACAGAAATCTCTCGGACTAAATCTGTCTGAACGGAGGTCTGATGGGCTTGGGACGACATGAGGGAGAGTCATTAATGACTAGCCTGACTTCGTCATACTCATTTTCTAATAAGAATATGAGTCTGATACCGCTCCGTTGGGCTTTGATTATGAGGCGTACCAGGAAAAAAAAACCTCTGCACTCAATTGGATAGTCGGTAAACCTACAACCAATCAGAGCAACGCAGTAAGTCAACTCCTTTGCATAGCGCAGTTTTCAACTACAGAACTTACTTATTTTAGAAGTAAAATAACGAGTGTTGCTTCTTTTACTTACTCCTCCATGAGTGCGACCAAAGGAGAAACCACAACGACCACAGGCTTTTCATTACGTCCTATCTTCTTTACGACCGTCAGAGCCAGCTGATAAGTTACACTTTTGCCAAATCATGTTGGAAGGACGGCAAAAATATCTTTCCAATCGACAAATGCCTTGATTGCAGTTTTCTGTTGGTCTATTAAAATGAATGCGCTGTCGATTTATTTTACAACAGACACGACAGTGGAATCTATACATCTCAATTCTCCAGCTGCAGTCATCTTTGACGAGCGCTCTTTGATAACGTGATGATTACGTCCTTGCAGATCATCTGTCCATCATCGTACAGTATAAAGCCCGCCCTGGCAATTTGATTGGCCCGTTCATTTCTTGCCTGATCATAATTACTCCTCAATGGATCGAGCTGGCATCCAGGCGAATTAATGACATCATTTTTGGGTGAACTCACCCATTAACTTATTAACTAACTAAAACTAGAAAGTGGAGGCAGAACAGTATAAAGTAGAGTTACTACACAAATACTCTAAAAGTCACATTACAACAGTTTATGTTTGCACTGTTCCTGTCTTGGGCAAGCTTCACTTAAAGTCAAAAATGACCACGAGTCACGTTAAGGATGTAAAACTGTAGAAGTAGTAAAACTCTAAAAGATAAAGATTCTACACACTCATCATGATTCATTAGTTCATACATAGTATTTTTCTATTTTTCTTTTTTACTTTTTCTGCTTCCATTAATACAACACCTTTGTACTATAAATGTCGAAATCTTCTTATAAACTGCCATCTTTCCTGCAGGCATTTGTGATCTCCATCACGTCAGACTTCATTCCCAGGCTGGTCTATCAGTACATGTACAGCCCAGACGGCTCGATGCACGGCTTTGTCAACCACACGTTGTCTTACTTTAATGTCAGTCACTTCCAGAACGGCACCGCCCCATTGGAGCCGTTCCACCTGGGCTTCCGTGTGGAGATCTGCAGGTATGAAGTGCAACCAGAGCAGCTCCATTACCACTCTACACACACGTTTAATGACATTCTCCTCCAGGTATAAAGACTACAGAGAGCCTCCGTGGTCCCAGACGCCGTATGAGATCTCCAAGGAGTTCTGGGCTGTGTTGGCCGCCAGATTAGCGTTTGTCATCGTCTTTCAGGTGAGTGTCTAATATCTAAAGGCTCATCTGTGCGAGGCTCACAGTGTAAGGGCAGTGGCACGTTAAATCAATGCAATCAGTCGCTCGGAAATCAAGTGCGTACAGAACACCAGTTAAAATCATGCTAAGCTCTGGTGATTTATTTGTGCAGAACGTGGTGATGTTGATGAGCGATGTTGTGGACTGGATAATCCCAGATATTCCCAAAGACATCAGTTTACAGATCCATAAGGAGAAGATCCTCATGATGGATCTGTTCATGAAGGAGGAGCAGGGAAAGACACGGACCGAGGACAGCGTGACGAGCGAGGAGATGCGTCACGGTCCTCTAACGCGCTCGCGCTCCATATCGCACACACCCTGCCCGACCTACTGACGTCAGCAGCCTCAGAGTTCCTGTCCTTACATTCCCCTGACGAAGACGTGCCGCTAGGTCTAAAGTAAAGCCTCTCGCCAGTGCACACTGCCTTTGCCTTCATATTGTACAGTTCTTCACACTGATGAATGTGCTCAACGCTTATTTTTTATCACTTTCATTTCCCTTAGTTGTTCTCTTTCAAAAGATGTGCTACAGCCACCAAGAACTTTACAAATGACGAAATCCAGCTAACAAAATATGTCCTAAGAACGTTTTGCTAACGTTCCCATTAGGCTATGAAAACGTTATTTGGTATGTTCTCTCAACACTCTAAACGTACAGTTTTTTTATGTTTCTAAAACGTTTTTCTTGGTTACGTGAATGTTAAGGAAATACTCCATCGTATCATTCTGCAAACATTATGGCGACGTTACTTTTGAAAGTTCTCAAGAAACATTTCAAAAACGTTAGACTAATGTCCATCTAAAACGTTTTTGTGCGAATGCTTTAAGAACGTTATTAAAGACCAGATAACTTTGAATGAACGTTCTATTACCGTTACTGAAAGAACGGTTGTTCATAACTTTGAAAGAAGTTGCCCCGACATAAGACAAAGTTCTGAGAACGTTCCCTGTTGGCTAGGAAAGCGCCTGAAACATATTCTACGCAAGTATGAGAACAAAAACATTTCTGGATACGTGAGTTTGAGTTCATGCTCATTCATAATGCAGCCGGTTCTCAGCGTCAAGCAGTTTACCTGCCTGTAATGTTGGAGTAGCCTAACCTATTATAACTCGATCACCCCTTTGAGTACCATAGGCTTTTATTGCCATAGATTGATAGCAAGATAAAATGTTACAGCGTGTACGGTACGAAACCAAAACCCTTGCAATGCGTTGGTCAAGCATTCACGTTTACATACCCGAGTATGTTTCTAGCCTATGAGTAATCTATACAAACTATCACATTAAAACAAATTGAACTGTGTTTATACAATGATAAAATGCTCTTAGGGATTAAAATCCTGAACTGAATTACTTTACTATTTTGACCATAAAAAGGGCTGCTAGATGTTTTTATTGAAACGTAATATTTAATATGGTTTATTTCAACCCTTAAGGTTCTGGTTGTTTTGTTTGCAGTTTTATGTGACTGAAAATATCTCCCATCCTTAGTTTATAACAAAGCCTAAATATGGGAGAAATGGAAAGGATCTTTAGACAAGGACCTATAGGAACTTGATTCATTTAATGAACATTTCAATTAATAGAACAGAGGCCACGATGCAATTAGATCCTAGTCTGATCCTTATAAGTTTAAATTAAAATTATTTATATTAGTTTTTAGAATTTTGAAACGTTCAAGCTTCTTTTAAGTGGACGGCCTTTGGTGAATCTTCTGTATGTGAGCCTGTAATTCTTTTAATCTAATGTACCTGATATTTCATGTTTTCACATTCATTGTACGATGGTATTTTACCGTTAAGTCTTTTGTACATTTGACGCTTTTCATATTTAATGGTGCTTGATAGGATATTCATTATCTGTGCATTGAGCAAGCATTAACTTTGCGGAACATTAGTCACATTTTGTTCATAGAGTGTAACAGACTTGAAAACCACAAATTCCATGATAAGTACAGTAATGTTTAGCTTTTATACAGAATCATTAAAAAACCAACAAAAAACACAAAGACTGTTAGATTTCTAAAGCATCTGTATACTGTCCTGAGATTTATGGGGTTGATCGAAAGTTACTTTTTGCACCATATGGATTGTAAAAGCAAACTCAGCTTAGCCTCACAAAGAACCATATAAAGACACAAACAAACTCTCAAACTCCAAAGATAAACCATTTCTGTGCTGTTATATTTTTATGGTCCTAAATATCAAGCAGAACAATCATATTGTTGTTGTTTTTTTTAAAGTATGATGTTTACTATTTACTGCCTTACATGTCTACTAAATGAATGCATATACATGCTATCTTCAGTTTTCTTGCCTTGAACCAGAAACACAATGTTCTATAGTGATTTGTGTTGCTGTGTACTGTAATGTAACACTAAACAGAAATAAAGTCTACTTCAGTTGTCAATGTTGTATTGCTGACGTTTGCACCATTCAGGATAGTTTAGTAGTTTTTGGTAATTTAGTTGTAATTATATCGTTTAAGTAATTTAGTATACTGTTGGTGGAAGTATTTTGGATTGTAATATCAGAATTCTGGACAGCTGCAATTTTCTTTAAATATTCTCTAAGACTGATCATATAATCTTTGATTAATGTAAGGATGTCTGTAATTAATTTTAAATGTCATTTATTAATAAAACAGACACAAAAAGAGTCAGATTCAGGTGACATATTCAGTCAGTTGATTCAGTCGATTTCAGTGAGCGATTTATCAGGTAAATCATGAGTTTGTGAGTCTTTGAATGATTCGTTAAAAGAGCTGGCTTATTAGAGTCAGTAGTCAAACTATGTCTGGATGGTTGTGTGTATGTAAAAGAAAACCCAACGCCCCACTGCCCAGGTCCGCCATTACCATGTCCTGGTCCTGTCCTGTCCCCCACCGCCGTCCCATCGGGGCTTCCGCTTGACTTGGGCCACGTTTACACAAAGCAAAACAAATATTTTCCCCCTCTCCGTTTTCAAAAATAACATCGTTCACACACCTGCATAAATACGCCGTCGAGCGCCATCATATCTATGCCAAACCTATTGGCGGCAGTGTAGGGGTTAAGGATAAAGCCATGCAAGCCAATCAGAATCCTCAGAATCGACAAGAGAAAACCTAAAACGCCGTTTCTCCCAATTCACACGACAACACATAACCAGCGTTTTCAGAAATCTTCACTTTGGCCGGAGTTTTAAGATATAATAGTTTTTTGTGGTAAAAACGGGGCTTTCATGTAAACGAGAGGCCAATTCGCAGGGAAATATCTGCGTTTTCCCTTCGTGTAAACGGGCCTTGGTATGCTGTTATCGCTAACGCTGGTTATGTAACCCTGTTAAAAAAAAAAAATTTGATAGATAGAGAGCCATGAGAAAAATTACGTTTCGAAAAAAAAACGAAAAAAAAAACGACAGTGGTACCCCTTACGTTTTTTTTTTTGGGCGAAAAATTAAGTTTCTCCAATCTTCCCAAAACTCTGGATTCTTATAGAGGGCCATGAGACTTAGACCTGAGTGCAAAAATGGAGGCTCTAGCCCCTTCCAGAGCTGAGATATCGAAACTCAAAAATTGGGCACGAAAAAAAAAACGACAGTGGTACCCCTTACGTTTTTTTTTTGGGCGAAAAATTAAGTTTCTCCAATCTTCCCAAAACTCTGGATTCTGATAGAGGGCCATGAGACTTAGACCTGAGTGCAAAAATGGAGGCTCTAGCCCCTTCCAGAGCTGAGATATCGAAACTCAAAAATTGGGCCCGAAAAAAAAAGACAGTGGTACCCCTTACGGTTTTTTTTTTTTGGGCGAAAAATTAAGTTTCTCCAATCTTCCCAAAACTCTGGATTCTGATAGAGGGCCATGAGACTTAGACCTGAGTGCAAAAATGGAGGCTCTAGCCCCTTCCAGAGCTGAGATATCGAAACTCAAAAATTGGGCCCGAAAAAAAAAAGACAGTGGTACCCCTTACGTTTTTTTTTTGGGCGAAAAATTAAGTTTCTCCAATCTTCCCAAAACTCTGGATTCTGATAGAGGGCCATGAGACTTAGACCTGAGTGCAAAAATGGAGGCTCTAGCCCCTTCCAGAGCTGAGATATCGAAACTCAAAAATTGGGCCAAAAAAAAACGACAGTGGTACCCCTTACGTTTTTTTTTTTTGGGCGAAAAATTAAGTTTCTCCAATCTTCCCAAAACTCTGGATTCTGATAGAGGGCCATGAGACTTAGACCTGAGTGCAAAAATGGAGGCTCTAGCCCCTTCCAGAGCTGAGATATCGAAACTCAAAAATTGGGCCCGAAAAAAAAAACGACAGTGGTACCCCTTACGTTTTTTTTTTTTTTGGGCGAAAAATTAAGTTTCTCCAATCTTCCCAAAACTCTGGATTCTGATAGAGGGCCATGAGACTTGGACCTGAGTGCAAAAATGGAGGCTCTAGCCCCTTCCAGAGCTGAGATATCGAAACTCAAAAATTGGGCCCGAAAAAAAAACGACAGTGGTACCCCTTACGTTTTTTTTGGGGGCGAAAAATTAAGTTTCTCCAATCTTCCCAAAACTCTGGATTCTGATAGAGGGCCATGAGACTTAGACCTGAGTGCAAATATGGAGGCTCTAGCCCCTTCCAGAGCTGAGATATCGAAACTCAAAAATTGGGCCCGAAAAAAAACGACAGTGGTACCCCTTACGTTTTTTTTTTTTTTGGGCGAAAAATTAAGTTTCTCCAATCTTCCAAAACTCTGGATTCTGATAGAGGGCCATGAGACTTAGACCTGAGTGCAAAAATGGAGGCTCTAGCCCCTTCCAGAGCTGAGATATCGAAACTCAAAAATTGGGCCGAAAAAAAAACGACAGTGGTACCCCTTACGTTTTTTTTTTTTGGGCGAAAAATTAAGTTTCTCCAATCTTCCCAAACTCTGGATTCTGATAGAGGGCCATGAGACTTAGACCTGAGTGCAAAAATGGAGGCTCTAGCCCCTTCCAGAGCTGAGATATCGAAACTCAAAAATTGGGCCCGAAAAAAAAAGACAGTGGTACCCCTTACGTTTTTTTTTTTGGGCGAAAAATTAAGTTTCTCCAATCTTCCCAAAACTCTGGATTCTGATAGAGGGCCATGAGACTTAGACCTGAGTGCAAAAATGGAGGCTCTAGCCCCTTCCAGAGCTGAGATATCGAAACTCAAAAATTGGGCCGAAAAAAAAAACGACAGTGGTACCCCTTACGTTTTTTTTTTTGGGCGAAAAATTAAGTTTCTCCAATCTTCCCAAAACTCTGGATTCTGATAGAGGGCCATGAGACTTAGACCTGAGTGCAAAAATGGAGGCTCTAGCCCCTTCCAGAGCTGAGATATCGAAACTCAAAAATTGGGCCCGAAAAAAAAACGACAGTGGTACCCCTTACGTTTTTTTTTTTTTGGGCGAAAAAATAAGTTTCTCCAATCTTCCCAAAACTCTGGATTCTGATAGAGGGCCATGAGACTTAGACCTGAGTGCAAAAATGGAGGCTCTAGCCCCTTCCAGAGCTGAGATATCGAAACTCAAAAATTGGGCCCGAAAAAAAAAAAC